CGGCTGCAACGAGGAGGAGACCCTGGAGGCAGTGTGTCTCAAGGAACTCTCTGTTGTGAGAGATCATGCGGGCAAGGCTTGCCTGCGTGAGTTGCACAAGACCAACAGCCCACTTATCATGGCAGTGTGTGGATCCAAAGGGTCCTTCATCAATATTAGTCAGATGATTGCTTGTGTTGGTCAGCAAGCAATCAGCGGTCATCGCGTACCCAACGGCTTCGAGGACAGGTCGCTGCCTCATTTCGAAAAGAATGACCGCTCCCCCCAGGCGCGAGGCTTTGTGGAGGACAGCTTTTATTCGGGACTCACTCCGACTGAGTTCTTCTTTCACACTATGGGAGGTCGAGAAGGGCTGGTCGACACGGCTGTGAAGACTGCCGAGACGGGATACATGCAGCGCCGCCTGGTGAAGTCCTTGGAAGACCTCTGCTGCCATTACGACAGGTCTGTTCGCAACTCATGTGGTGAAGTGGTCCAGTTCTGCTATGGGGCCGACGGTTTGGACCCTGCCTCTATGGAAGGCAAAGAGGACAATCCAGTGGACTTCGGCCGAGTCATGGAAGTGATGCGCGCCCGGAACCCACACCGGAACGAACCTCCGCTGGACATGGATGGGATTCTTCAGCTTTCTAAGGAGATTCTGGGGGGCCAGGGTATGAGTGTGTGTGGAGAGAGCTTTCGAAACGATCTTAAAGCCTTTCTGACCACATATGCTAAGGGCGTTGCAGAGACGTATACCTTGTATAAAGTCAAGGAAAGAGACATTCCTGTGCTGAAGCAGCTGAACCGGTTGACAGCATCACAGCTACGTAGCTTCTTTGACACGTGCCGAGAAAAATACTTGCGTTCAGTCATGGAGCCCGCCACGGCTGTAGGAGCCGTTTGTGCACAGAGCATTGGAGAGCCAGCAACACAAATGACGTTGAAGACGTTCCACTTTGCGGGAGTTGCTTCCATGAACATCACTCAAGGTGTGCCTCGGATAAAGGAAATCATCAATGCTAGCAAGGTATGTTTTTGGTGTTGCTTAGAAGTTAAACTAGCAAGTCAGTACTAAAGAACAAAAAAAGGGGTTCATCATGGTCATCATAAGTCTGAAAATAAAAATGTTTTATAAATATGTAATGTCATTATCCGAGACCTCGACGCGTCTCTCTGTACAGAAGCTTCATGAATAGATGAAACAAAATGTGCAAATTTTATTTTTGTAAGAAAATGTGCTGGTAGAGCAGAAGATTGTAGTTAAACCAAGTTATGACAGCGACAATTATGCCATGATACTCATTTCATGGTACTCCTTTTGTGGACTTGGTTCTTTATGTGGGGAAAGCCAGCAAATGCTGCCTGCTTCAATTTTTTTTTTACCTTGTATTCATTTGATTACCTGTAGCTTCTATGACAGAAATACATAAGCACAGCTATTGCATCATCTGAAGTTATGTCATGAATTCTAGTAGCGTTTTCACAGGATGCCTACTATAGGTAGAATTCCCATATTCGTCGTTTAACTGAGGTGAAATGTGATCTGAAAAAAAAAAAAAATTTTTTTGTTAATTTGTAGCCAAGAGCAATGAAACATTTGCTGTATATATAGGCTTAAATGTTAATATAGTTAGTTTTATTGTAAGTTGCACTATTTTCATTTTGTGCCACTAAACTTTAGTGGTTCTGAGCCATTAATGACTCATATTACTCCATATTAACTGTAAAATGTTAATGACTATCAACAAAGTGCCTATTAGACATTTTAATGGACAAGAAAAATTTTAATGAGAACTCTTAGAATCTTCAGACCATACTCAGTGCTTACTTTAGGATCATAATAACTATACATGCAATATCAAATTTTAAACAAGATGGTTGCGCTATTCAAATGTTAGGAAATAAGTGGGCAAAATTTCATCCCGATAGAAGTACCAAGAACATGATGTCCAAACTCAAAAAGTTACCCAAAACTGCATGTTGAGAAAAACTCATTTTAAAGGTATAAGTGAAAGATCACCACTGAAAAAGATAGGTTGTTTTAAGATTGTCTCTTCTATTGTGAGAGCTTGGCAATCGTTATTTTGAACATGTAGCTTTAGTGAATTCCCGATGCAAAATGTAATGATAAGCAGTGAGGTGAAAATTTCCTGGAGACTCTAGACAATGAGCTCCTTCTAGTTTTTAGTAGCCACTTTGTGCTCTTTAAAAGAGATTTTCACCTACTTCGAGTTTAATTACAATATCCTGTTTGTTGTGAAAGTAGAGAAACTAAGCTTTTGAAAGAAACTAAAAGCACGAAATATGTAATATTGAAAAAGAAACTTGTGTTTTTCGATTCACATCTCGCCCAAATTTGCAAATTTTGATTCAATACAATCTATTAGAGTTGCTCACCTGTGTGTTGCAGAACACCAGGCTGAATGCAGGATATAGCTGCTTAATACCCAAACACAGATGTGTGGTTAAGGTTATTTAACAGATTGTATGTGTATATTTCATGCAGAACATCAGCACGCCAATCATTACGGCTGCTCTGATGAATGACAGAAATGCAGAGTATGCCCGTCGCGTCAAGGGTCGCATTGAGAAGACATTGCTTGGTGAAGTGTCGGAGTACCTGGAGGAAGTTTTTCTGCCCGATGACTGTTTTGTGCTTGTGAAGCTCGACATAGACCGTATTCGACTGCTGCAGCTGGAGGTTACGGCAGACACAATCCGTTACTCAATATCATTATACAAAACCAAGCTCAAAATCAAGAATGAAGACATCAAAGCCATTGGTAGCTCCTTGCTGACCATTCGACCGAACGCCACTTCTAAGACGTCTCTGTACTACTCGTTGCAAAACCTGATGGAACAGCTGCCAAAGATCGTCATCAAGGGCATTCCGAGCAGCTCGCGAGCTGTCATCCACGCCGACGACTCCCATGGAAGCACCAAGTACCGGCTTCTGGTGGAAGGGGACGGCCTGCGGGACGTGATCGCCACCTATGGTGTGGAAGGCATAAAAACGTCTTCGAACAACACATCCGAGGTCGAGAAGACGCTAGGCATTGAAGCTGCCCGAGCCACAATCATCCGGGAGATCGCCACTACAATGCAGAGCCATGGAATAAGCGTTGATCGGAGGCATCTCATGCTCCTCGCGGACCTCATGACCTTCAGAGGAGAGGTGCTGGGCATCACCCGGCATGGCTTGGCACGGATGAAAGAGAGTGCACTCATGTTGGCTTCATTCGAGAAGACGGCGGACCACTTGTTTGACGCTGCATACTATGGGCAGACTGACGAGATATCGGGCGTCAGTGAGAGCATCATCTTGGGTGTCCCCATGTCCATTGGCACAGGATTTTTCGACTTGGTGCACAAAGTGGACTGGCGGCCTCTGGCTGCACCACGCCAGCTCATTTTTGATCGCAGTGAATTTCACATTAAGCTCGGCGAAAACTGACAGAAGTTGCTTGTGCTCGATGTACTTCGTTGAATCTAAGTTATTTTCTCTGTAAAATTTTATTTGGTGACAAATGTCAGTATAGATTATGCAATAAAAAGCCATTATTCAAATACATGTTGAAAATAATTTACCGTGCAGTGACTGGCTTTTGTTGTGCCTTCCAAAGTGGGGTGCGAGTTGTAAGCTCTTGGCTTACTGTAGTCTGTTATTAAAATATAGGCAGATTAACAGCAGCGCATGCTTATATCGTTTTTTGCTTTTGTGTGTATATACATTCAACATACTTAGTGAAGAAGCCAGTTTAAGTTTATACTTACAATATATCTGCATAAGCAGCACATGTTTGAAAATCTCATCACTGAATTCATGTTCACATGACATTGCAATCCAGGAGCAACTATTTTATGCTTTATTTCAAATGAAGAGGGTCACATATCCTATTAACGGCAAAATTACGATAGAAATCTGGATCAACAGGTATATCTCTGAATAGAAAGAGCACTGATCAAGTTTTTCTAGGTCCAAATGCTTGGAACTTCTGAGGCAATGAAATTCCTAAGATGTGTCTTGGGATTTTTATTGATTAATTGCATCTAAAGGCATTAGAGTGGCCATAAAGAAAAATTCAAATAGAAAAAAAAAATGTGCTCCACTGGAGCATGAGTGCTGCATGCATGAAGGGAAAGACAAGAACAAAGGTTGGGTTGAGTTTAAAATTTCTGCTAAAGTATTCAACTTGAAAACTTCCGTAAACTTTGCTGTGAACAAAGATTATACACTGAATAAGATCATGTAGGAGTTTCATCTTAAGAAGACTTATTGACAATGATGCTCTTAAGACATGTACAGTACAGCAAGAGCGAAAAGAGATAGATTGGTAGCAGTTAATAGGCTGATAGCACACTGGTAAAAAGTACTGCAAATGTGTTCTGCGAAAACACGCAAGGTAGGGGAAGGGTTAAGAAAGAAAAAGAAGAGAATGACCCTTTTGTAGCATAAAGCCACAATAAAATCCGTGCGACACGGGCAGTGCCTGCTAGAGAGTTTCTTGATTGAAAAAACAACAAAAAAAACACGATTGCTCCCGTTACACAACCGTTCACTGGCCACCCAGTATATATAGGCTCTGGATCTTGACCTCCAGTGTTGTGTTGGTGGGAGATTTTCCCTGTGCGTTGTTGAACAATAAAAATTAACAGTGTGTGCGTTAACTAAATGTGGACTGCAGGTTTCCGTCCAATAGGAGTCTTCCGTCACCCATTGCCAATTAGCAGCGATTGGTATGTTCCAGTGGGAAACACCAGTCCATCACTGCATGCTTTTTGCTTCCCTAGGTTTCTCTCCTGAGCAACGCTGCGATGGGCGCCAGCCTAAACGTCGCCGCAAGTGTAAGAGTTGGCGCCCGCTGCTTCGCATCTGCACATGGTTCCCTTTAGCGGGAAATGGTGTAATTTTTTTAAGTAACCTGTATAAAGGAAAGAAGTGGAAATTCAAGGGCTCGTTTTTGTTAGGATAAAGAGCAGACGAGGCTACATTGTGCTGAACATAGCAGCAATCGTAAGAACTTGAGTAGACATGCATTTATTATGTACACTATCCCACACAATGGCAAATATATTCCTATTGAACTAAGGAGTCTCGGGCACTAGTAAGTCGCTTTGCTCTCACAGTCCAACAGCGGTGTCCAGCTTACGTTGTATTCAGTTAAAAACTGATCCAGTGTCATCTTGTCGAGCATATTAACCTGGAAAAAACAATTAAGAAGGACTTTGTTACAGTGGTTGTGCTGCATGGATGATGGTTGCCTTTAAATGGTACAACTACTTCGAAGAACTCCCGAGCTGCATTCTGCGCATAAATCACAAGTGCAGCATTTTTGGTGCTTTCTAAGGATCCTAAGCTACATGGCCACAATCACAAGCAAATCACCGACCATAAGCATGCTGCATTGCTCCGATATGATCAAATGAAAGTTAAAATGGAGGGATGGAGCTCTGAATACACACTACCATGATGATCCCCTATGGACATGCTTTACTGAAAGCTAACTCCCGGCTACTACATGCAACAAAACTTAAAACAAACTAGAATCGTGTTGATCAGAGGTGAGAAGGGAACTAGATTATGAATGACACACACCTGTTTTCGCACATAGTGCACAAGAGTCTCCAATGCCACGGGATCCCTGCCTTCACAGGTAAGAAGCACACGCCAAAGGGCATTGGCCAGTGTCTTGTCATCTCCTTGGAGACCCTGCAGATAGTGTCCAAGTGACGCTTAAAATGTATTGTCAAAGACAGTGCACACAAAAAGCAGGTTTCCCAATGACAGCCTCTATTGTTTTATGATTATTGGAATTACTCTATTTCAAGATGGTCTTCCTCAGGCAACTGAAGCAAGAAAAAATTTTATGAGGTAACAAGCAATAAGACTGAACTGCATTTATATTTTTTTAAGCATCCCACACGTGGCTCCAAAAACCATGTTTAAGCGTCACTAATGTATGCTGTTTCCTATTTTGTTTTTAAATGGCTAATGTAGCAATGTAAAATATTGAAAGTCTGATTCTCAAGTGAGTCACTGAAATGATTAAGACCAGACTGAATGAATGAGTGAAGACGGCCACAATTCCGGTCAACGCAGTCTGGAAGGCCAGGCCTGAGTTGTTTCCAAAGCTCTGGTTCACATTTGCTACAGGCGTTGGGTGCAACCACATGCTATGCGTGTGAATGCTAGTCACCCTCTACACAACGGACACTCACGCATACAGCAGGTAGGAAACGTGGCATTTAACATACCAAGAAGCCAAAAATCTTGCGGTGAATCCTTTGCCAATCTGTTGTCTCCCTCCTACTGAGGCATGGTACGAATTTTTATAATTTGTTGCACTAATAATCAAGGAACTCTCTGGTGTGGTATGTGTGTGAGAAGGGACGCGAGAACTGGTGTGTTGAGCATGATTTGCCAGTGGTTGCACCTCCGTATCCACATTCCTATTACCCTGTAGGTATGACATCCCTGGACCAATTTTGTCGTTTTTGTTAATGCTTTGCAGAAGTCGTATGCAGGCTCTAGGGGCATGGCCCTTAGTGTACATCTGGTGCACTGCTTAAGAATCTGTAATGAATATTGTACTTCTTTTACCGTACTCGGCGCTCCTATTCACCAGAGCAGTCGCCTATAAGTTTAATTTACTACTGCAACATTCTGTGTTTCACAGAGTTCACTCCCAAACAAAAAGGCAAAGCTAAAGTGAATTAACTGAAGCAAATATTCGACTTTCTACGATGCAGTAAAATGAAATAAGGCATCATGTATTTATGTTCCGCCATGCCAACAACTGGACCCAAGTTTTACCCTGTGGCAATCTGACGATATGTGATTGAAATTTGCCTATTACGTGTCATAGTTAAGATTGCAGGTGATTAAACAAGCATCAATCATGTGATGACCTGGTAAAAGAGGTTATCAGCTACCATTATAAGAAACTTGTTACTGAGTTCTTTACAAAGTGCAGTTGGCCACTCACCAAGAGCCGCACGACCGAAATGTTGGGTCACAGACGATGTGAAGCACGCAACTCGAGCTCCAAGACATGAGAACTTACCTCGTCGTACAACATCAGCATTGCGTTGAAGTGGTCGCTCAGGTCCGCTAAGCATTCTCTCTTTATTTTGGTTCGCACGAACTGATGACAAGGAAACACAATATAACAACGTTAGAGTCGTCGGACGGAATGCAAATTGAAATAAAATAAAGGTCCTCACCCCAACTTTTCCTATACGTTTTTCCGCATCACTCCACAGGTTTCGAGCAAGTTCGTGTTGGATGCAAAGAGCTCGGCGATCGTCCAGTTCTGCCATACCACGCGTCATGCACATCCTAGAAGGTATAAGTGGCGCGTGAGTAACTGCTCAACTCGTACATTACTGTTGAAGATTAACGTGTGCCGGAAAGTCAAGTACTTGCCACACGTGGAGCTCAGTGACGAGAAACCACGATAAGAAGGTGTCTTGAAGTTTTAAATCTGTCAAAATTGACGGCATAAAAAATTGCCGTAAACACGAAATGTTCAGCAGTACGTCGAACACTTACAAGAAAAGAATGTCCCGTAGTCCACCTTGTCAACACAGCTTTCGTAGACGTAAACACACCCTTCTCTGATTTTCTGATCGAGAATAAGAAAGACAAGGGTTGCACGGATGAGTAGACATCTGTCTCATAATTGCGGTCAAAGGGTCACGTTAAACGCAATGTATTGTCAACGGTTATACTTACGTCTTGGACAACAAACTGCCACTTCACGCTTGCTTTTAATCTCTCCCACCTAGAGCCTACCGCAGCAGAAGCGGCCGGTCGTATAGGACTCTGAAAATAGCGTTACCCACGAAGATTTGTAGCTGGGAGTACTCCAGAGAAGGGGGTTTACGAAGCAATACCTCATAAGCTGCGTGGACGTGCATACTTTTGGAAGAAGCCCCCAGCAGCGCAGAGCGGCAGCCTGTATAGCGCAGTGCGCGGCTGTATAACGAAGAAAAAGCACGTAATGACATCGCAAGGCGACGATCTGTAGATACACAAGCAATTTCTGGGACAACGCAAGGCGAATGTGTTTTCCACCGCAGCTTCTACGCTACTCTCACGTGTTTGAGCATGCAGACGAACACAGACGAAACAAGCTGCAGTGGTGATGATGAATGGTCACTGATGCGCATGGCAATACGAACGTATCAACATTTAGTGTGCTCATATTTCACGACGCTCGTGCTGAGTGTTCTTGTTTAGCGTATTGAAATAAAAAAAAGACCAAACACATCGTAAAGGCTTTTTCAGATGCCACGATTACAGCGAATAAAAATTGTTGCGTTCGCTTCAACCGCTTTGTTCGCAACAAGGAGGATTAAAAAAATCGCTGGAGTGAAAATGATTGCGCAGAAGTGAAGCCGTTCCTCTGGCAAGATGGTGGTTGTAGCGGCCATTTTACTAGAGGCATAATAAAGTATCACCGTTTAGCAATTAAAAACGAAGCGTTTCTCTCGCACGCCCAACGAGTTGAATGTGGGAACTTTTTCGGGTCTCATAGTGCTCCAAGTGCGTCTTACAGTTACTAGTTTTCCTTAGTGAGCCTCTAATTGGAGGAAAAGTTCTTTGAAGATTCAGTTATCCATAATCGTTTCTGCGTGTTATTTCGTCGGGAACAACTGTCTTTTAATATAGAACTAACGTAGCATTTACATAAAATATCAAAGCCACTTGATCTTTAAGTGACCACTATCAGAAAAGAACATGTTTCCGCCATCTTAGCAGTGGCAAAAGGTGGCTTCATTTCTGTTGGCAAGGCATTGCGGGAGCTTCCACTTCAGCAATTTTTCTTTAATCCTCCTTGGTTCGCAACCACCGCTCATGGCGGTTTCGTTTCACATGGACCGAGAACGGTCCGCGCTTTTCGCTCTGCGACTGGAGTGGCGACGATAGTTAAAGCGCGAGAACAAAACGACGGCACAGAGACAAGAAGGACACGAAGACACGAGCGCTAGCTTCCAACAAAGTTTATTGCACAGAGCGCGAAAATATATAGGGTAGACAGTAACCACCTGACAAAAACCATATGGCACAAAGAGCAAAGCATGAGTAAGGGAAAAACAAAAACAAAGGCACAAAAAAGGCAAAAAAAGTTTATAAGGAAACGAAACGGAAAAGTAAAGATAATATAACTACTTGCGTGCACCAAAACCTTCGAGGAACCTTAGTTTCTTCTCGGACAGAGACACGGAGGGCTTGCTAATGCAAGATACCTGTTCGCGTGCCATCTGAGCAGTCTCGACAATGACTCGGGTGTGCTCATCTTTGTGCTTGTACAGCGTCGCTGTGTCCTTGAAAAGGGGCACACAGTTGCACTCAGTCCAGTGCTGAGCAAGAAAACCAGATGGTTTTCTTGCTTGTCCTTCATGTCCTGTTCTCGGCACCGTTCAATTTAATCAGCCTCACCAAATATACAAACCCCCTGAAAACGCAGTCATCAACGGAATGCAGAGTTCAGCATAGAAACAGGTATGCGGCATGCTCCCCCGGGAAGTTGTCTATAGTACCCCACTTTCATGGGGTGCTTGTTACTTGAAAACGACCGTCTGAACGATCTACTGAGAGAACTAACGATGTTAGAAACGGGAAAGATGGTTTTCTTGCTCAGCACTGCACTGAGTGCAGTGCAGAATGTACGAAGCACGCGTGTGCATGTGTGTGTATCGTTTTCACGCCATTTACGTTGGAAACGCTCAGTGTAAAGTCGGCTGTTGCAGCGCGTGGGATCTAAAAATTTGCAATCAATTTTCATCTCTCAGTTTGCGCCCCATCTCCCCACATTTAAAGATGTGTAACCTAATTACTGTTTATTTTAAACCAGTTCATACCGTAGCCTGATTTGTCACCGAGCCCCCTGGGTTAACTGCGCTGGGGAACTTCCCAACCAATTAATTAACCAATCTCACGGTAAGGGTGCCTTCTCTCGATTATTATTACGACGAGAATGAAAACTTAATTTATTAATTTGTGGGGTTTAACGTCCCAAAACCACCATATGATTATGAGAGACGCCGTAGTGGAGGACTCCGGAAATTTTGACCACCTGGGGTTCTTTAACGTGCACCCAAATCTGAGCACACGGGCCTACGACATTTCCGCCTCCATCGGAAATGCAGCCGCCGCAGCCCGGATTCGATCTCGCGACTTGAGGGTCAGCAGCCGAGTACCTTAGCCACTGGACCACCGCGGCGGGGCTGAAAACTTAATCGGGTTTGAGAGAAGACGCAGGGGAGATACCGCACTATTCTGTTAGTCCTACGTAAGGATCGCCAGGCCGAGCTTGGCGGCCCGTTGATGGGCACTCTGGACGGCCAATGTTTGATCGTTGAGTTCGGGGCTGTGCAAGAGCGCTGACCACCTGTCTTCGCTGAAGGCGGAGCCGATGTTTGCACACTACCACAAAGTTGAATGTTGCTAATAGTCCACAGGTATTCGCTGTTATTCTCAAGAGCCTGATATCACTGATAATTTGTTATTTACCTGCCATCGTCCTACTAGTCAAAACAAAAGACATTTCATATTTTGCTCAGAAACATGAGAATTACTTTGAAGTTTCAAAATGTTCTTTTCTTTAGGATGCCCTCACAGGGCTGCAGCGACAACAACGACTGCTTAGCCAAATACGACTTTGGTGACACAATAATTCCTTGCTAATATTATTACCAATACAATTTTGGTAGTTCACTATTCCGCTCACTGGTTAATTGTATTTAATAATATTATTTTTGCATGATAGCTTATTGTTAAAGCTATATAAACTAGTCATTCTTCAGTTTTCGTTTGTTGATCCCGAAGACGCCCAATTTTTAATCATCGTTCATCTCAATTAAAAAAATTCCCCCTCACATTCACCGCTTGTTTCACAGACAATACGCTGTAGTGGGTAGAAGTCTGGAATAGAGAGACAGGCAAGCAAGCAAGAAACACGCACGGAGACGAAGAGGAAGAAAAGTGACGTTGTAGCCGGCTGCAGCAATGTTGAGCCCGTCAAGCTCGCCTGACGACAAGCAGTCGCAAGCTGCCGTCTCGAGTGGCGGCTTCGCGTGGTTGACCCGGGCGAAGAATCGCCTGCGCACGTTCAACGTCCTGCATGGCACTCGCTCGAAGACTTCGCCGCCCGTCACTGCCAGCTCGCCGTGCTTCGGCAGCGCGGCGGACCTGCGTGCCGAAACAACCGAGCCTGCACTCAACAACAACGCGCCGGTGCTTCGTGACCTTGCCACTGCCCGTCTCAATCCCAGCTCCACGCGGCTCTTTCACAACCGCATCGTCGCCAGCAACCCGCAGCGGCCATCTTTGGGAGAAAGCAGATTCTCGCAATCGGGGTCGATCCCTCGCCCCAAGCCGATGATTCTCGTGAAGAGGAAGTTAAGAGCTAAAGCGGGTTCTGAGGGAAGCTCCCTCAACGATCTCGACGACATCGATGCGAACAACGAGAAGTGGAAGACCTTTGGGAGTGCGTACTCGGGTGAACAGCGATTGATCCTCCTGGACGAAGCTGCCAAAAGATGCCGAGGGCACGAAGACGCTGAAGAACGCAGTGACAGCGCCTGTCCCGGTTTACTTAGTCGAAGCAGCAGCTTGAAGACCGACGTGGTTTGCCACGACCAAGTAGTGCCCCGTATACAATGCGAGAGAGGTAAGCACTCCGACGGCATGCACTCGTTGTCCGAGGACGACGAAGAACCTTCGCCGCCCTCTAGAGCTTCGCCACTCCTCGTTGATTCGTCGCGCATCGGTGCTTCGTCAGAAAGAGCTCCCTGCTCCCGGAGCACGAAATCGCAGTTTCCAGGGGTTTTCGAAGCTGACCGCAGAGGCTGTTCACCTGACAGGCCCAGCAAGCAGCGGCCACCCGATGCGGTCGCCGAATTGACGCGCGACGGGTCGGTGTCTGAAAGAACATCGCTGCTCGAAGAGCAATATCTCAAAGATAGGGTTGCTTCGTGGGACCCATCTCAGGAAGATGGGTACGCCTTGTCAATGTTTGAGGAATTGGCCGACCTAGAGAGCCAGAAGGTGCCACTAGACCCCGCACAGAGAGGCGAGTGTCCAACCTCCGAGCGTAACTGTTCCGCAGTAAAGTCATCGACGATTGTCTCTGTGACGCCTTGTTCCCCGTGCCCCGACAGCACTTCCCGCAAGTCTTCCGCCGATCGAAACCTTTACGGTGACCTGAAGTGGCTCAGTGAAGGGTTAGAGAGCAACCCGAAATGCGAAATCTTGTTCGACGTCGACGGGGACCGGACGATTAGCTGGAGCGACCCTTCTTGCCCTTCTGATGGAGCGGGAATTCTCGCCAATATGGCCAGTGTCTCCGACGGCATAGCTTCAGTTGCCGCGTTGTTGCCGGAACTAACTCCCGAACCGCTCTTGGAGGCCACACTGTCAACTTCTGACACCGTGGCGGAGCACCTCCATCCCTCCGAAACAGGCCCTAACGCGGTTTTAGCAGCAAGTCAGCAAAGTAATACGGAATACCTCGATGACTCCCGTGCTCGTGGCGTGAGCCAGGAAATACGTGGGCTCCAGCAAGAGTCGCCGTCTCTCGTTCGTAGCTCACAGCACAACACGCGCGCAACCGCAAACAAGGATAGCAACGGACCTGACGATATCCCAATGTCTGGTGGCAAATCCATTCCCGATCCTCTCGACATGACACTGGCTGGCAGGCGCAACGAAGTCATCAGGCGCGCGGGTACCGTGAGAGCACGGAAATCTCCAAACCAACCTGAAAAAAAATCTGAAAGCGCTTTAGCGAATGAAGAGAAGCACTGCAGTCGCGATGCCAGTGAGACGGCGCAGCCGACGTCCTCGACTGCCAGCAAAAAGGAGGCGCTCTCGCGACTCATGGAATCGATGCGTTTGGTCGAGATTCCAGGAGCAAGCTGGAACGTGGCGCCGATGTCGTCTGTGAAGGGAACGCCGCTGCGCCTCCACGAGTTTAATAACGACGATGTGAACGTCAAGGACAGCGGCGAGGTCACAGTTTGCATCCGGACGTCGACTCGACGAAAGTCCACCATGGTGTGGCCCTTCGGCACATCTCGATCACACCCTCCCTCGCAGTGAATTTGTGCAATATATGACACTATGCGTAGACATAAGACACTGCTTCGCAATATAGATTAATTTCGACCGGGGACAGATAATTCACTTTAAGCGTAACGACGTAACTTGGCGACCATTCTCTTATGAGATCGATGTACCGTGCTAGGCCGCCTGATGACAGCGGAACGCTCGTCTTGTTGTTAGGCAGCGTCACCTGCTGTTCATACGTTCCACGCAACGTTCATTGCCTCTTCACGTCGATTCGATTGATACGGCACTTCCGTTGCGCGGACACGAATTCAACAACAGCATTCATTATTATTCATTATGAAAGTGAACGTACATACATGCGTCCAGTTCCTGGACATTTCACCCGTAGAATAAACAGCACTGGTGGATCGCAGGGAGATTTAATAAGTAGGGATCATAGCCTTGGTCGCAGAGTTGTTAAAGTGCGGTATTCTACTGGCCTTTCAACGACACATCTTTCTTCTGATCAATGACGGCACAGACAGCTGTTTAAGAGGCCAATAGCGATATCCATTTTAACGCACGTCTTACTTTAGGGATAGTCTCCCGAGGCTAACTTTTGTCTTTTACTTACCGGCGTAAACACTTCTGTAAGCGGTAATATATTGCCGGCAGTAAGCATATCGCACGTATGTCATCAATATAATGCCCAACATTATTTTGTTCATGGTACCCGTAAAGAAATGTAGAACCAGTCACTCGTGGCATAAATTTGAAAATTGAATGAAAAATGAATGCTCGTTTCTCAAACAGAACAGTTGTATGTATTGCAACCAGAAAGCTTTTATCAATGAAATAAGGGCGGGAGGGAGAAGGAGGGTTTCAACGTGCGTATATACGCATGGACGCATGCTTATAAACACGTGCATAAATAGAAAAATTTCGGAAAGAGTGGGCCCCACCCCTGGCTATCGAGGAGCGTTATGGAAGCGTGGATGCGCATTATTTTCAGCAGAGAAATCCGCTCATCGAAGCTGAGTCTCGAATATAATCCCGCTCTGAATGAAATAAAATAAAAAAAACTATTTCAGTCCTGCAGCACGCGCTTAGCGCGTAGCGGGCGTCTCCCACGTAGGGACCAACAGGCTGGCGGCCGCTTCGTGGGCCTGCTGGACGGCCGTCGGCGAGAAGTGAGTACCCGAGGGACCACTTGTTTGAGGTAGTGGTCGGGAGGAATGTTTCTACACTCCCAGAGCATGTATGCGAGTGTCACCGTGTGATCACACGAGGGGCATGTGTCGCTGGAGTATGCATCAGGATAATAAACGTGAAGCTTGGCAAGGTTTGGGTACGTGTGGGTCTGTAATAGGCGCAATAGGGTTAGCGCCTGCAGTCTGTTGAGTTTCGGATGTGGGGGTGGAAAAATGCGGCGTTCAAAGTAGAAGTGCTTTGTTATGTCATTGTACGTAATGGGTGCATCCCAATTGGTCTAATTCTTAGCCGGATGGGGTGGCCCTGTGGCGGTGCAATTGGTAAGTGCGCGCGCTGCATCATGGGCGATCTCGTTGAGGTTGGATGGGGCACACGGCACCTGGCCTAGATGGGCGGGGAACCAGGTGACAGTGTGGTGCTTGAGAACACTCGGGTCCGCTCTGCGCAGGATACGTAACGCCTGGTCGGAGATGACTCCGCGTTCGAAAGCTTTGATGGCCGGTCTGGAGTCTCTGTAAAGGAGTTCCCGTTTGCTGTCGAACATAGCTATAGCTACTTGCTCCGCTACTTCGGGGTTTCGGGTGAAGAATGTGGCAGAGTTAAGAATCTGCTGCGCGGATGATATCACGACCGCGGTGAAGGCTCGGTTGTTGTGATAGGCAGTGGCGTCCACGAACGAGACGTTGCCTGCTTCCATGTCTATGCGCTTGAGAATGGCGGTCGCCCACGCAAGGCACCTGCCTCTGTTGTACCGGGTTGTACATTTCGCGGAATAGGAGCGATCGTGATATGGTCGAGCATTTCATGGGGAATTAGAGTCCACTCTGGAAGGTCCCTGGCCGTCGAGGAGAAGAATCCGAGCTCGCGCAGAATATGGCGGCCCGCCTTGGTGGTGGTGAGCCGGGTCAATTGCATGCGTTCCTGAGCTTCGGCGATCTCTTCTAGCGTGTTATGTACGCCAAGCTCGAGGAGTTTGTGCGTTGGAGTGGCAATAGGGAGGCCAGGGGCTCGTTTGACCACCTTGCGAATAAGCGCATTGAGTTAATCGCCCTAAGCACGTAGCCATTTGTGTATAGCGGCAACGTAGGTATAATGGCACAAAACAAACGCGTGTACAAGACGCAGCAGGTTGTCTTCTTTGAGGCCACGGTGCCGGTTGGCTACTCTCTGTACGAGTCGTATGGCATTCTCAGCCTTAGTCCTGAGCTTGCGTATACTGTTTGGGTGTTGGTTCCGCGGGACTCGATGATCCCGTTCTGAACAGAGATATAAATAAGCCTGTACCACACACACTGCGGCAAGCACTAGTAGGGCACTGGAAGAGGCGCTTCACCTACACTAATTTATCATAATCATCGTAATAATCATCATAATAATCATCACCTCCACCCTGCCTACTCCCACTTCAGGGCAGGGTCATCTCCCCAGATCCGCGAATCAACCCGGTCCTGTGCTTTCTAGAGTAATTATAGATAGCCTTATACTAATTAAAGTTGTTACTCTCTCTGCAGCACAATGCTTGAGAATGTAGTTTAATGGCGTGAACGAATGACGGAATAAAATGGGCGCGGGCGGTTGCGTTAAACGGATGCTCCTCTTGGAGGCGACGCAGCGTGGGCGTTGGAAACGTCCTTGCGCTGTTGTCGGGCGAAGTGCAAGAACACCTCGGTCAGGCTGACGTCGCTGACCACGTACTCGGAGACAAGACCGTGGGCTCGCAGCTCTTCCATGCCGGCGAACAGCTTGTGCCACAGCTGCGCCATCACGTGGAAGCGCAGCAGGGCGCCGTGCTGGTGGCGCCGTCGAAGCTGCGCGCCCGGGAAGCGTTCCTCCAGAACTTTGCAAACTAAACCTGCAGCAGGAGAGCCCGGTGCAAAGAAACAGTGCTGCAGGACTTGAGAGCCTTCAAGGGCCCGAAACCACTCGAGTTCAAGGATTGAAAGTGTTTTTCATCTCGCCTTTACTGCGAACAGAATCCGAATTTGGAAGTCCGGACGGTGTGTTACGTCACCTCACATCAGTGATTCTCCTCGTCCGCGTGGCTCGCGGACGGATGAGCTCAACCTGTTCACATCGGGATTCTGGCGGCGGAACACCGCAGGTTCTGTACATGCGCTACCCACACAGCCGCACCGCGCGTGGTGAGACACCTGCCGCACGCAAGCGGACGGCGAAATAGCGTCGCCGATTCACTCATTTGCACTCCACTTGCGTGCGGCATGTGTCCCGCCACGTGCGGTGCGGCTGAGCGGGTGGCATGTGTACAGTATTTAGGGCCGTTCCATGCACTCGCCACACAGCCGCAACGCACGTGCCGGCACACCTTCCGCACCCAAGCGGAGGGTGAAATAGCGTCACCGATTGGCTTATTTTTCCCCTGCTAGCCCGGTAGGGAGCACGGCGTATAGGCACTGCGCCGTGCTCCCTATACCGGGCTGTAGAAATTAGGTGTTTTTTTTTTATCTTCTCACCACTACCACCCTGCCACCACCTTGCGTGCGACAGGGGTCCCGGCACGTGCGTTGCGGCTGTGCGGCTAGCGCGTGGAACGGCCAGGCTAGTAACAGTATACATTTTTCTTCCGCTCGAGCCGTACAGCTGTCCTCGCAGTTGATTTCGACTCTGCTTGTGTTGTTTATTTCCGGGGCCATATTCTAAACAGATGACCTTAGATATACCTTTCACTTTTAAAGCTGTGTTCACACGACGGACGTGATCACAGACGAACCGTTCACGTGACACGTGGCGTAATTCAGACGCCCCCCCCCCCCCCCCCACACACACAACCAGCATTCACACGATATTAAAGAACTCGCGCTACAAGCGAGGATTTCGGCATTTCTCTTCGAGGATTTCAACCGTGATTAGGACTTCCATCGCTTCACGTATCGCTCCGCGCCAATCGAAGTAGGGACGCAAGATAAGCTGACGTATGGTGACGTAGTACGCAGCCCGCCGTCTCGAATCACAATTTCATCCGTATTGAATACACAGCTTAATGCACCTCGCCGTTTGTACACGCAGGATTCTGTGGCATGCAGTGCGCTTTCGTTGAAAACGAACATCTCAGATTCCTGCAAACATACTGCGCAGCAGTGTAATGTGTGCTGTCGGTAGGTGCTATCCGCAAAAGGATTAAAAAAAAAACTGCCAATAGTGGCCGGCACATAACTATCTTTACTTCGTGTGCTGGGCCCCACCCGTGACAGCAGAGAGGTCGGTCTTCAGCAGCTCACCGTACAGCAGGTTAACATTTTCACCCAAACAAATTACAGTTCTCGACAATGCTCGATGCTCCCCAAGCTTCGTGTTCTGTCAGCGGTATGTTGTTAAACACACTCTAAGGTGTCTGTTGACAGCGGGCGCAGGTAAGCGTAGAGGCCAAGGTCGCGAGTAGTACAGCTGCTCTTCCCTAGAGGACAACACCCGTCGTGTGGATGCGCCTTCAGGCGAATCATTCGCGGATTTGCCGTCCGCGTCCACAAAAAATCGGGACGCGGTCCGTCGTCTGAATGCACAATAAATGTGCTATAGCCCCCTTGCCATTTACTTCTTCATAAACATGTGGACAATGTCAGCACTAAGCGTTGAACCTGTCATATTACAGTGTGTAGTTCAGTGTATTTTCTGTGCTCTGTTATTACAATCTGTTGCACATTATGTTATTACAACAGAGCACAGAAAAAAAAAAAAACTTGGCAGATCCCACGTACCTGGGAATTGACGTTATGCGAAGCATGCGGAGGGAAGGTGACCGCGTAGCAATTTTTTCATTGAGTGACACGTCATGAAATAACGCTAAATGTATGTACAAATGTTGCACGCACAGGCATGTGTTGAAGAGTTGCAGATGTTTATATAAACAATTGTTTGCACTTGCGCAACGATGTCAACTGGAACACACCTATTAGCAACACCAGAAGCTGATATGAAGCGCTGATGTTCGCAGGATGCTGGCCCTGGGCACTGCTACACAAATCAACTTCAGCACGTGGCAACTAACCACAATTGACGTTAACACGACGTGACGGCTGTATCAAAGGAGTACATGTTTATAAAATTGTAAGCAGCACTGCAACTACTATTGATGTTTCACGAAGATTAAAGTTAAAGTTCATTTGAAAAGTAGTTAGGAGGCCTGGCGTAGCTCTGTGGTAAAATGCTTCATTGCTGCGCAGAAAGCTTGGGTTAGATTCCAGCTGGGACCATGACATTCATTCTTTGCATTCGTCGGCATGACGCTACTGATGTTGGGTATTCCTTACCACTCACGCGATAAAAAAAATGGCAGCATATCCACGGAGTGAATGATGGAGAGTGGGGCGAAGCAATCGTCCGTCTGTGTGACCGTCCATGTGTCTGTTCGTGCGCCCGTCCCTGCGTTCGTTCATGCATCCGCCCCTGCGTCCTTTCATGCGTCCATCCATGCATCTGTCTGTGTGTCCGTTCATCCATATATTCAACACTCCAAGTCCCACCATCTCGCATCTTTTTTATCATATATTCCCCATATAGAAGCACCGCCATTCAGTGGACATTCCAAGGACTAAACGAGAGGTGGCACACGCACACTCTCTTACGGCTTGCGCTTCGGTTCTACTTCCCACCTTCAACCACCTTGAGTTCATGGTATATACTAGTTCACTGTATTCATGGCACTTCGGCACAACGCTCGCTAAACCTTTCTAAAACTAAGGAGGTTACACCCAGCGAGTATAATGTAGCAACCCTTTCTTGTCCGATAGTGCTCAATGTACATGCCAATGGCTGCTAATGGGGATCGCAGCATGCGCGTTGACTAAAAGCCGAATGCTTCTGTCTCTCATTCCCCATTAGCAGCCATTGGCATGTACATTGAGCACTATTTTTTATTGTTAAACAACGCACAGAAGAAATCTCTCACCGGCACCACCTTGGAGGTCAAATGTTATACCTATTTCGGGTATGTGCCACTAATGGTTGCGTACTACGAGGGACGCACAAGCCACGTCATAAGAAGCTTCGCCCCTAAAATGTCGATGTGTGTTCTCGTCGTTCATGGGTAGATAATAAGTGTCAATCAACTGTGGCACATATCCACATACCAGCGGCACATACTCACCCTTCGGTATGTGCCCCTGTCTGGCAGGAAGTGTTTGACGACGTAAGCGACGGAATTGCGGCGTTATTCATGTCTTGACCAGCGCGTCATATGCGTCAAACCATCTTACCCTTCCATGCTAATTTTGGTTCACGCCAAGTTAAGGGGGTGACCACGAGAGCGCTCTAACGTAAGCGTCCAGACAGACAGACGGACGGACAGACAGACAGACAGACAGACAGACAGACAGACAGACAGACAGACAGACACACAGACACACAGACAGACAGACAGACAGACAGACAGACAGACACACAGACAGACAGACACACAGACAGACACACAGACAGACAGACAGACAGACAGACAGACAGACAGACAGACACACAGACAGACAGACACACAGACAGACACACAGACAGACAGACAGACAGACAGACAAATAGATAGATAAATAGATAAATAGATAGATAAATAGATAGATAAATAAATAGATAAATAAATAGATAAATAGATAGATAAATAGATAGATAAATAGATAGATAGATAAATAGATAGATAAATAGATAGATAGATAAATAGATAGATAGAAAAATAGATAGATAGATAGATAGATAAATAGATAGATAAATAGATAGATAAATAGATAGATAAATAGATAGATAGACAGATAGATAGATAGATACGCCCAAAAAATGCTTCACATTTAATGGAAATTTCTGGTTAAACTTCGTTATCCGCGCTTGCTCAGTCGAAAATGTGCAGAGATTCATCACAGTGACACCCTTCCCTATTCAGTCAATGCATAGAACGGACACTGCCCCCCCCCCCCCCCCCCCTCTTTATGCAACTAGGAGGGCGGCCGCCCCTCTTCGAAGCATGTTATCTTTCGAACTCAACCAATTTGAATGGGGAGAAAAAAAAAAAAAAAACCAACGTTCCCTTCTTCTAAGTAGTACTCCACCCCAGTACCATTTTTAGTGCGGCAAAGCTCGCTTTCGTGTTGATTGTGACAAAAGGTGGGAGTTTTTTCTTTTTTTTTTTTTGCGGCGAGCTTTCACCACTCTCTAATGGGGAACCTTGCTGCTCGTAGCTAGTGTAATGTGGTGCATTTATGTGTGCAGACATCACATTACACCAGCTAAGCAAGTGACGTGGCTGTGGCTGACATTCGCTTCTGTTGCTATCTTTCCAACTCAAACTCTAGTCGTAGAATAGCGCCAAGCATGTCGACAAAGTGCGCCGATCGATTAGATAGGGCATATGCCAGAAGCAATTTAAAACTCACAATGACAATTACGGATATAAAATAAAGACATACATATAAAGAGAGAGAACGTCATGCTAAAATTTGTGAAAGAGCCGCCCCTTCCTGAAAACGCCCCTCACGCACCGCTAGCGCATATCCTCGACTGCACGGAGGCACAAATCACGGTGGTAGGAACGCGTGTATGAAAAAAAAGTGCGAGCTTTCGTTTCATTTGCTCTTGTACAGAAATAACAGACAACAATACCAAGTATAGAGGATGTTATTAAAAGTAACTGCAATGAAAACAAAGATTACAATTACTTCTAATAACATTCCTTACGTTTTCCCTGGCATTATTGTCTGTTAGTTCACATTAATATTATGTCTAACAAAAAAAACGAACCCTTAAATGTACGATTATTTCCTTCATTCTTGTACAGTCTGACCGATACGATGTGCGTGGAGCGCGGACACGAGGCATCCTCTGAACACCCACCTGAATCCTGAGGCAGGCATCGTGCGAGAATCGTGGCCCCTCGGCCGATGTCCTCTTTGAGCTGCTGCGTGGATCCGAGGCACGCGAAGCGTCCCTCGCACAGAATGGCCACCCGAGAACAAAGGGTCTCGCACTCACGCATGCTGCGCGCCAGAAGGCAACAACGTGCGTACTCAACCGCCGTAACGCAATGTTCACGAAATTTTCACTGCGCAGTAGCATATATTGAGAAGATATCCAGACTTAAGCAGTAATCGGCATTGATAATGATTGATATGTGTGGTTTGACGTCCCAAAACCACCATATGATTATGAGAGACGCCGTAGTGGAGGGCTCCGGAAATTTCGACCACCTGGGGTTCTTTAACGTGCACCCAAATCTGAGCACACGGGCCCACAACATTTCCGCCTCCATCGGAAATGCAGCCGCCGCAGCCGGGATTCAAACCCGTGACCTGCGGGTCAGCAGCCGAGTACCTTAGCCACTAGACCACCGCGGCGGGGCGTAATCAGCATTTCAGTAGAAAACTTTGGCGTGTGTTTTTTTTTTTTTAGTGGTAGTCTTCACCTCAGAAATAGCCTTTATGCGGCGAAGCCCGCTTTAGCGTCGTTTGTGGCAGACTGTGGGAACCTTGGGCGCTGAGCCATGCTCCCAACTAGGGCTTTTCTTTTTCTCAACCTCTCTCTCTCTCTCTCTCTCTCTCTCTCTCTCTCTCTCTCTCTCTCTCTCTCTCTCTCTCTCTCTCTCTCTCTCACTCTCTCTCTCTCTCTCTTCTTATGTCAACTCAAGCACCAATCAACAGATCGATTGATCAATCAATGAATGAATCAATCAATCATCCTAACTTCCTCATCTACGTTTTCACACTATCTTTTCACGCGATCTTTTCACTCTCAGCTCTTTCTGCCCTATCCTTCTACTATAAACCCCTTAATTTCCCCCCCTTCCCCTCCTACCGCATTCTTCCACGCGCCTTCGTGTGACGGAGAAGGCTGGCGCATTTCATCTCTGCCTGAGCCACAACTGGTGGAAGCCTTCGCAAACTTTCACTCGCACATAGGTCATACTACGCGCGAGATGGAGTTCTCGATTTGGATTTTGGGCCGTAACATGACAGCAACAGCTAAAGTGAACATCGAAGACCTATATAGCTACTATCGCAATAATATTGAATCTTTGCTTTAGCGTATGACTCGTGTACGTAGGCACTGTAAACAAAACAGCGGGAACCGTGTGCGGCCCACGGTTACATACCAGTGCGAAGTGAGCAGTATGGAGAGGTAGAGGTTGCGCTTGACGGCCGTGAGTATGTTCCAGATGCGCCTGCGTGCCTGAGGGTCGACGGAGGCTGTCGGCTCATCCAGTAGAACCACCCTCGGGTGGCCCACGAATGCAACAGCCAGGGACAGTTTGCGGCGTGTGCCACCGCTACAAACGCGCCGTCCGTTTAAATGTACTCTCATATCAGATGTGTCACGTTTCGAGTTGTGTCACGCTTTTCCGTGTCCTGTTCGGGTCTCGCTATATTGCGGCCGATTTAAAACTATTGTGATGCCAACACGACTGGCGTCGCAAGTGATGTAACGTTTGCGTAAAACTGCGTATGAAAGGTATTTGCAGAAACTTCAAAACTATTGATCCGTCTGCGTACTTGTATTCATGTTGTTGTTCAAGAGTAAGTAACAAGGTAAAAAAGAATGAATCTAAACAGCCGCTGAAAAGGAAGAAATCAAATTACAAATTACATCCACTCCGTCAAATCTTTAAACTACAATAACGCGCTAAGCGTGTTTCTCAGAAAGAAATATTTTGTGAAATATCAGTTTATACAGTTCCCTAGATGTTAATAAAAGGTCACCTCTTGTATACCTGGTGATCGCTCTGCCATGTGACCTAACGAGGAAATAACAGCAGATCGTAGCGCGAACGCGAATTGACTACTGACAACTCGAGGCACAAGGCAATAGTAGTGACAGCTTCTCTTTCATGTGTCTTCATCTTGCGGTATTGTTTAGGACTGACCTTTCGTGAGCAAGTACCGCATGCAAGCAAGCGCTATACCCAGTTCGGGGATTATACCTGTACTTTCCGGTGGTGACGTCGGCGTACTTTGCCATGTCAACGAACTGCAGTGTTCGGTCGATGACCTCTTCCAGGTCCGTTTCCGGGATTCCGCGGAGCCGACCGAACAGTGCGAGCATCTCTCGTCCCGACAGCAGGTCAAGGGTGACGTCCGTCTGCGGGCAGTAACCGATCCGAGCCTGGTACTGCGCAGATACAAGCCACGGCAGCACGCCTCGCGTGAGCTAGTTATGGACCAAGATGTCCCGCGCTATCCGCTGTCGTCGTCACAACAGTCGCGGCAATATTACACAGTACAGTGTATATCAGCGCAATTGCACAGTACACACATAGATGTAAGTTACTGCAGTAAGCATTGAAGCAACGAACAGCGGAATAATGTAATGTTGAGGACACCATTATTGTATCCGTGACGTTCATTCTGAGTTGCACATCGCATCTGGCATATGCGATATTTCCCGTCTCCCGGATCGGCGCACACTGCCGACTTGCTTGGCAGAGCAAAGTCGCGACCATGACGCGCTGGCCGAAGTGGCGAGGTAGGAATGAAGTTGAGGGAACGAAGACGAGGTAGCATGTTCCATTACGGCCGCGATTCGATACAGCAATGTGCAAAGGCTCTCACGTAGTTGGATTGTGAGGTACGCATCGAAAAATCCCAGGAGGTGAGGCTTGACCTCGAGTTTCGCACAAAGACATGCCCTCCAATCCGATCGTAACACTCCGGCTCCCATTTGCAAACCGTTGAAAGCGAACTATAGTTTCCCAATATAGGCTCGTGTTTTGACCACCCCGACGTTCATGCTAGTTGGCCGCACGCACTAATAGAACACACCGATGGTTCGCACTCAAGCTAGTTACTCGCGACACCACTCATATTATACACTGATGTCACTTGCTCATAGCGCGCATTCATTGTACAACTTATGTTACTCGCTCATCTTACGCGCTCATGGTACGCACTCACCTTTCTCCTCGAGGTGGCGAGATCGGCATCGCCAATGAAGGCGTTGCCCGCAGTGGGAACCAGATCTCCGGCCAGCATGCGGAACGTGGTGGTCTTGCCAGCGCCGTTCATGCCCAGCAGACCGAAACATTCGTGGCTGTTCAGCGTGAACGAGAGACCGCGCACGGCTTCAACGCTGCGGTAGCTCTTCCTCAGATTGTCCACGCACAAGACCACCTGCGTACATGGAACCCGGGCCCCGAAATTCGCCCTCTTAAATTTATCAGCTGGGTACGAGGTCGCTTACGTGTGCAAACGAAGGCGTTCAAAATTATAGTGCAGTAGTACACTGCACAGCATGGATTTATAATCATCATGATGGAAGTAGCGCACTGACGTGAGAAGATGGCACATGCCATCACCTATTCTGTAACGTTCTCATGTTGATGAACCAAACAACCTGGTTCTGCACACTAATGCGTCGTCAATTCAGCGAACACAATAGCACCAACATAGCCGCAATGCACATTCATAGCTGGCTGGGACACACAGAACACTTACTTACCGGGCGTGATGTAAAGCAACTTGTCCAACTTTCAATGCCAGTTACGGAAACATCAAGTACACGTGACGGCAAAAACATCCTGCAATCAGCTTGATGTTGAAACGCGCACACTACAAATTAAGAATGTACTTCACTTGCCAAAAAACATCGTCATTAATAACTGGGCAAAGTTAAAGACGAAAAAGTTCGTGTTCGTTTAGCTTTGTTCCGTCTTAGTTCCACAGTTTTCGAGAACTCTCAACACAGCCCCAGCAAGCCTTTCTTGCGTAAGAGAACTACAGTTCGCTTACGACGTAATGATCCGACCTTGCCCCCCTCCGAAAAATAATTCGGACGGAGTAGGATCATTACATCAATTGAGACGAAAAAGTGGAAGAAAATGGATTCGGCCTTCGAGCACATGGGATGAGTTTATGTGTCACGGTTCATAAACTTTTGACACTGGCTGTGCACGCACATCAACAAGAGTAACAGTTTCGATATTCCATAGTATACGTTCTGAGAGCTCAGCGCAACTACGAGCAAAAAGAAAGCAAAGGTAGGATAGAAGGGAGCACATGACCACAACGGAGGGCTCACGCTGTCGTCGTCTCCTCCCTTCTACCACTGCCTCTGTTTCCTCTTATGCTGTCTTAGTTACGCTATATGCCCAAAAGGACACACACATTAGTTTTATAGTTTTCCATGCCTTTGCTTCGAGGGGGTCAGACATCTTCGAGCGCCGTGCGATGATCTGCTCGACGCGAGCGCGCTCTTCCTTCACGCTGCGGTGTTCGTCGACCGCGGTCGGGACCGCGCCCTGGATAGCCCGCAAACGTGTGACCAGGCTCTCCACGAGGCCCGAGTCGATGAGCGTGACGACAGAGAACAACGCGACTCCCACGAGCAACATGATGCACACGTCGCGACCGGCGCTCATCTTGTCCCAGGTCAGGCAACCCTTGGAGAGGATGCAGTCGCGGCACTTCTCTGGGCGCGGAATGAGCACTCTCACACAATGCTGAGCGGCACAGTCTGTGCAGTTTCAACGCCGTTCATAGTCTTGACTTTCATGTAGGTAAGCAGCGCAAACGATTCTATACACAAGGTTACGACCCACACAAAAAAAAATGTTAGTCGACCCATATACTTCCAAGGCGTCTGCCTTTCACCTGCGGAAGACTGTCATGCTAGTTGGTTCTCGCTCAAACCATATTTTTTTTCCTTTTCTGATTTAACGTAAGTCCTACGCATAACAACAGCGAGAGGTTAGTCGTTAATACTGTAAGGCTTACAATACCTGCAACATATGTTTAGCTAAGCAGCGATGTCAGAATACCTGCCGATATTTATCAGGATGTTCAAGTTTTCGGCCTAAATCCAGCTACGCAAAGCCGTCTGTATTGGGAAGTCCACTATCGAAAACGCTCGAGAAGGGCTTGACATCACGAAAACGAGTAAATGCTATTGGACTGAGCAGTCATGCCAATTCACTGTGTGAGGGACAGCGATGGCTGCGTGCAGAGCCGACATCTTTCTCTTAGGTCGTAACAGTACAAAACAATTTGTTGCGTTCACGTCAACACGGCTTTCTGTAGAGTTGAAGTGCTCGCAGGAATAAGTGTACCAATAAAACGTGATATTGAACTGGAGCCGATCGTGGCCACCGGATTTTCTCAAATGTCTAATCAGCGTGCGCTGAAGTGAACAGTTCACGTAGGGGACTCTCATATTATAAGTATTCTGGTGTCGTTTTAACACTTGCCCCCCCCCCCCCCCATGTGTTCCGGATACAACTTCGGACTTTATACGGTACATGAAGGCGACAGCAACGCCAAAAATGCGCCTATGGTTGTTTTTGCAATATAATGTTATTGCAATAATCATAAATGCACGTGAAGTTGCCCGAGAGGTCCTAATTCACTGCTTAATATTTTATAAGATATCCCGCAAAGGTGTTTATGCAATATAAGACAACAAAAAATCAGTTTTATAATCGATGCTAGCAACATATTTAAAGTAGCATAGGGAATAACTTGTTTACAACCAGGTCAACATACTGTTTCCTCTGTCATTCTAAAGTTTAGGAACAGCACACTAACTTGGACAGCACTCGATGAATCGATTGAGGTGATCCGGAATTTTCTCCAGGCCAAAGTTTTCGCAAAAGAGGAGACGATCGAAAGTCGACATATAACGACACATAATGCTTTCTTGCGAAATCTGCAAAGAAAAACAAATATACTGAGTTCGTTGTCAGGTAAGATTGTTACTAACGAAGCATCACCGTATAGTAATATAGAAAACTCGATATTAACATTTGCGGGGAACTATATATAGACCACGTGATTAAGAAATAAGTGAATGAACACTACCGAACGGCAGTAAGGTGTCTGCATCGCGGTTTATTATTTCACATGCGGGTCGCAGGAACCTATCCTATTTGTGTCCAGACAGTGGTACATTAACCATTTTAAGCGCACGCTCTGGGAGTGCGATTGTTTACAGCGCCACACGGGCCAATGAATTGGGGCAGAAGCACTTTATTAATTAGTCGAGAGACACGGCTATAAGTGAAGCAACGCCGGGCTGTTACGGTCGCACACAATGCGGCGGTGAGGCTGGGTCTTCCGACGTGGGAGCGGCCAAAGTATCATCCCTATGAAAACGGTGTGAAGATTCTTCTTTACTTGACTAAAGCTTATTACCAACCTACCCTCTGGTTTATTAGCAGTGTACCCCGTCGACATAAAGACAAGTAAGAAAACGCATGAGCTTTACATAAGAATAAGAAATAAGACCATCTGTAACCACCCAAGACGCATACAAGGACTCTATTGATTGATATGTGAGGTTTAGCGTCCCCAAACCACCACATGATTATGAGAGACGCGGTAGTGGAGGGTTCCGGAAATTTCGACCCCCTGGGGTTCTTTAACGTGCACCCAAATCTGAGCACACGGGCCTACAGCATTTTCGCCTCCATCAAAAATGCAGCCGCCGCAGCCGGGATTCGATCCCGCAACCTGCGGGTCAGCAGCCGAGTACCTTAGCTACTACAAGGACTCCAGATAAAAGGCTTGCGACTTAATATCAGTGCAATTTGAGAGCAGGACTACATTAGCATCGATGAAGATGCACGACAACAATACAATGGTCGCTACAGTTTGCACGCACATATCCATCAGTTGTCGTTCATTGGATCCAGTGAATAATAAACAAAATGACGCGCAGTGACATGCACAAAACAAAATTGTATTTATACTCGACGCTTGCACCGGGGACCAATCTTTTCGAAGACCGGTCCACGGTCTAAATGTATGTATATATCATGTACCTTTCACCAAAAAAGGTAAACATATTATTATTATTATATTATTATTATTTATTATTATTATTATTATTATTATTATTATTATTATTATTATTATTATTATTATTATTATTATCACATATCAACTCACTTGAAGGCAGTTGGAGAATCCCCAGGCGAGGGAGAAGCTGGGTATTGCCCTGAAGAGCCACAGGGCGGCATCTAGTCCCGCAGTGCCCCTCGTTTCGTTCATCGCCGGCTCGATCAGCGCCGGCAGCAAGTAGAGCAGCGACATGCTCACGTTCAGAATCATGCCTGCGCACAAAACGCACAATGGCATGCCTCAGTTTGGCTGCCGTGCAGAGAGATAGGCTATACAGATGTTCCCTAACAGCGCTCTAAAAAACCACCGCTATCTCACTCTAGAGAATGGCTCTCTCTTGCGATGACAGAAAGAACAAGCCTGCCCTGCCTGCTAATTAAACTCCTGTCTTTAGGCTCATAATGGCTACTTTCCGGTTACAAGTATATATTTTTTTAAAGCACGTAGCACTTAAGAGGCCCGCCTTGTTCGCCTGTGCACCTGTCGTGGCGTGATCACATTCACAAATAAGAGGTCAATACAGGCCTAAAACAAGGCTAGTAATGTACAAAACCGGGTTAAAATAAACGAAGATGGTCTGAAATATCATAATTAACAAAAAACAAGAATTAATAACAATAATTCGCTTCAAAGCGCTAATAACAATTAGGAAACAAGCAGCCGACACCGTACGCCACGCAAGAGAGGACGCCGCCGTCTCGCTGGGCGCGCGATTGCTCCTCTCACCGGCGCTTCTCTGGTGCCATACAGATAGACGAACAAGAGCGCAACGGATATCGATGTGTGCCAGTGCTAGCACTCCCTCGTGTTTCACAGCAGTAGAGCTGCGTTTAGCGCATAATTCATAACTACGCCAATCGCTACACAGGAAATACGTTAGCGCTACACTTGAACGACATATAGCGCTGGACGTAGTTTGTAGCGTCTTTCAGCGACGCTAACAACTGGCGGCAATACATTTTTTTTTCGTTTTAAAGCTGTGATTTCACAACAGCCGATACTGGTGGCGTTGTTGTGACCGCCGGTGTACATCGCAGCTATCACGCATGCACATAAAAAAAAAAAACTGTCTGAAGGTGGACAGGAACCCAGTCACTCAGAGTATAGTAGGCTACAACTGATCTGCCCTAAAGCGCTGCGAGTACTTGAATATTCCGGGAAAGGACAGTTTACAAGCGTCATGTGTCGAGAGGAGAAGCGTTGTCGAATGTAATAATACGGGGCAGAAGATTAGGGTCACACTAGGCGTCACACCACGTGGACGGCGACACGAGCAAGTTGTACACCCATCACAATTGGCTCAGCAATTATTCATCACCCTCATCATCATCATCCAACGCAGAACCAATGAAGTCTGCACCCACACAGGTGCTCATATATTGCCCCAGGTAAATGTGTAGAAAGCGATTCGCTACTTCGTAAAATGGCACGATTGATCTAGCAGTGGATAACTCACAACTCCACTTGCAGGCGCCCTAAAAGAGTTTAGAGCGGACTGTATGAAGGCTGCTTTATGAAGGCGTTCTTTATTATGGGATATAGAGAAAGCAGCATGCAGTTCCTTCGTTAGTTTTTGAAGCGCTGTGCCCTTTCTTCAAATATCACGTTTTCAATTTTGCGAAAAATAGTATACAGTTCCCACTGGCGGAGCCATCAGCCATACCATGCTGAATGCGCCGGTTCTCGTCCCACTGGCGGAGAAACTAAAGACAACACTTTCGAAGTCTTACCGGTGACGATGCTGATGCTTGCGATAGTCACGTAACCCGTCGAAGGTTGGTCGCAGAACAGAGACACAATGTACGCGAGTGGAATAGACGCACACCCGTAGCTCATCATCAAAGCGTACAGGGAACCTGCAAAAATTATGAAGGGTTGCACTCGTTAAACAGGATTTTCACGCTCAGAACTGAAAACGTCAATTCGATAAACCAGGCGTAACCAAGGAGTATAAGGTCCTTAAGCACAACAAAGTCAGGCTTTGTATGTATGTACACACGGCCTGCGTTGAGGCGGAATGATGACGATGTTATTACAGTGGGTAGCTTATTAAATTAGCCCATAGTTACCATAATTAAACTACCCAACACCAACAGCTATCAGCAATCAGTCATATTTGGGCAACATTAACCGACATTAGTCAGACGTACAGAGCTCCATCAAAGCAGAATGCACATCTTAAATCGTTCACCTTTTAAAGACGGCCCTTTTGTCATACACGGGAACAGTGTTCTCTAGACATGGTGATGCGGAACATCCTTTACCAGCTTCGACCTTTAGAATACCACACCGATCTGAAAGCGATCGATCCTAATCGTTAGTGGTCTATCAAATTATCCTAGACACTGATGTTGCGCTTGACACGTTGCATCTATTAAAAGAATCTGCGGCGAATGTTGAGCGCATTATAACGAACTATGCCAAAGTCTCCAATATCTCATGCAGTGGATACCCCTGAACTTAGCCACGGATTTCCCTCCCAGACGTATAAGGGTTGTGCACGTGCTAGGACACAAAAATGAGTGCAGTCAGATGGTCATTCAAGGAACGTACGCTGAACAGCATATGCCAGTTATCTCAACATTGAATGTATATATTGCAAGTATACTTGCGGTCGCTGGAAAGTAATGTATACCCAGCCTGAATAAGCGACACTCATGGCCGATTGCATGAGCATAAAATATTACAGTAAAGGAGCCTTAATTACCGCAGGCCCGTAGCCAGAATATTTTTATCGAAGAGGGGGGGGGGGGGCACTTGCTAAAAACCTTGACTATTAAAAACACCCATTTTTATTGCTTATTTTCAGTAATAAACCCCTTCCCACCATCACAAATTTGAGAGAAAAGGGGAGGGGGAGATGCAGGGTATTTTTTTTTTACAACTACGGGCCTGTTTTACCAGGTATACGTTGTGTGTATACTAACGTGAGCGCAATGACACGGAAACGCGAACGAACGCGTTGTGAATAGCGTCAAGCCCTAATTCGACTGATACCCAGATGGCACTGACAAAATGAAGGACGACGCCTTTCTGTGAGCGAATGCCACTCCCACCATGCGTCCATTTTTACGATGAGCGAAACATATCACACAAATAACAGTTTGATATTGTAACGTTCGTTGTAGAGCTCGGAGGCAGCAAAGAGCAGTATCGTTTTTTGAAACCCCATTTTGCTGTATCCTAATTTTGTGTCACACGCACACACACAAGCGAATGCATGGAAAAGCGATATTTTAGAAGACATGCCGCATTGCGCTCGACACATCTGTCTTATAGGAAGCATGCACTTACGTCATTTCAACCACCATCATTAGTCAGTGCAGTAAAATGCACGCCTGCCTATCTTGATGTGCTTATCTCCAGAACAGTGAAGCTGCGAATTGTGAAACAAAATAGCGCATGCTGACGTCACGTGAATACCATGTATAATCGCGAGCGTGTCGCAATACGCAATCAGCTGCAGTTCTTTTTTTATTTATTTTTAATCAGCGATAGCTAGGAGGTCCTGCTGACATATGGCAGGACTGCGGTGCCATTTCTGCTTTGTTTCCCCCGTTGGGGTTGTTGCGCCTTTGGGTAGCGTGGTGCGGACTCGGGCCATCCGAGTCCCCGGAGAGGACGAGTAGAGAAGCCGGAGAAGGAGAAAAAAATGTTTATATACAGTATTTACATGGTAGCGTGGTACAACGTGAAAAGAGAATCACCCACGAGCGCCTCTGCGCTAGCGTTTTTATACATCGTCCGCCTTCCCAAGATCCCTTGCAAAGAAAATTTATGCGCAGGATACTCCAATGAGATCGTCGTCTTCCTCTCCGTCCCCGAAGAGGGAAAGCCAAACACCGCCTCCCTCTGAACCTAGGAAAGGGGGCAAGGCATGCCCAGTTCGCTGTTTGGTGAGGGAGACCCCACGCGCCAGCGTGGCACCACAGTGAGATGACGTGGAATCCCATGCGCAAAGTCGCTCCCTGATGCAGCCAGGTTGACTCAAGCAAGGCAGAATACCCCGTACAGCTGCTGGGTCGACGCTGCTTCGGAGTGTCGCTCTCGGCGGCTGACAAAAGCTTGGCCAACGACTTTTGTGTCAAGAGGAGCCGGCGACGTGGTTTTTCCCGATTGTCCGCGTCCGTCGCCGTCCCGGTGCAGGGTTGACTCATCAACAGCTGCCAGGTGCCAGCAGGCCGCGAAGACCACGTGGAACTTGGGCGAGGCACAACAGCACCCCCGCCGCCAGATGATACATCGGGAGGTCGAGTTGTTCCATGCAGCTCGGCCGGGTCGATGTCGGCGACGTTCCGGCAAGGCTCTTGCCTTCTCGAAGGGCCTGGTCAAACTGGAATGCTCCAAGAGCTGGCCTCTGCGCCCCGCTTCGGTGAAAAGTGGGTGACAAGCTCCAAGAAACGACCTTTGTCAGCCACACACAATGCGACAAGCACCGCGTGTACGCCACTCTCATCGCCAGGCCTCAGATTTTACAAAGCAAACATCTTATCTTAATAACTTAAGCTCAAGGAAACAATGTGCATACTAATCGGGACAAGTGTCCAGTAACTCTTTCATACGTAATTCCATTTGGAATCGAGATAACATTATAATCAAGCTAAACAAGCAAACTGTAGAGCTCGGGACAACGAGGGAGTCAGTAAAAAATTTCTCTATGCCCTCACTGTAACACATTGAAAAAAAAAAAAAGTACACATAAACTAGGTAAAGGTAAACAAAAAAATCAAACAAACCTTCCGCGTCTTTTGACGAGTCAAAACGCTCGACTTAGGGCGTCTGCATTTGTATGAAGGCCACCTCTCTTGTAGCGCACCTCGAAATTGTGCTGCTGCAGTGCTATGCTCCATCTGAGCAAACGACCATTCTTAGGTGACATTTGGTGTAACCAGGTTAGTGGAGAGTGATCAGTTTCTATAATAAACTTAGAGCCAGCAACATAGCAGCCTAGTTTTGTACGGCCCAAACAATGCAAGCACATTCTTTTTCCGAAGTGCTATAAGCCTCTTCCCTGCTGCTCAATTTGCGACTCAAATACAAAACCGGCCGCTCCTCTCCACTCTGGTCCGTCTGACATAGCACTGCTCCTAAACCGCGTTCGCTTGCATCACACTGAATAGTGAAAGGTTTTGCAAAATCCGGTGCCCTCAAGACGGGTTTCTCACTCAATGCGTGCTTCAGCTTCTGAAAAGCGTCTTCCTTTTTAGAGTCCCATTGAATGTTCACAGGTTCGGTCTTGCGTAAACTATCTGTCAAAGGGCTGGCAATCTCGGAGTAATTCGGGACGTAATGCTGATAGTAACCTGTGAGGCCGAGGAATGCTCTCATCTCGGTCTTAGTGCTGGGACGACGATAACCGACCACCGCGGCTACCTTGAGTTCGGACGGTCGACGACGCCCATTTCCTACAATGTGCCCTAAATAGCTTACTTCAGCACAGCCCAAATGACATTTCTCTCTCTTTACCGTAAGACCTGCATTTTTGATCCGTTCCAAAACCATCCGAAGGTGTTCAACATGGTCTTCCCATTTGTCCGAAAATATCGCCACATCGTCTAGGTAAGGCAGCGCAAATTTCTCGAGCCCGTGGAGAACCTTATCCATCAGGCGGCTGAAACAATACGGCGCGTTCTTGAGCCCAAAGCTCATCATCAAAGGACGAAAAGTGCCCAGGGGTGAGATAAAAGCAGCGTATCGACTCGCGCGCTCTGTCAAAGGGACCTGCCAATACCCCCTGACAAGGTCTAACGTAGAAATGTATTTCGCCTTAGACACTGTCTCTACCCTCTCTTCAATGTTAGGAATAGGGTAAGTCTGGTCGACTGTTACAGAGTTCAGGCGGCGATAGTCCACGCATGGCCTTGGATCACGGCCCGGAATCTCAACCAAAATCAAAGGCGAGGTGAAATCACTGTCTGCTTCGATGATAACACCTAGGTCGATCATGCGGCGAATTTCGGCCTCTAGTATCTCTCTCTGTCTAGGTGACACCCGATACGGCTTACAGCTGATCGGCTTGTTAACCGTCAGCTCAATGTCGTGCTTAATCACATCCGTTTTGCCTGGCTTCTCGGAGAAAACGGTAGCGAATTCCTGTACTAAAAGCTCTAAATCTTCCTCTTGAGCCTTACTTAGGGTGTTCCCTGGGTCTACCCTATCTGACAATGTGCTGCTGACCGTGCCATCGGAAAGACAAAGGATTTCCGCGCCCTCATCCTCAGGAACATTGAGTGCAAGGTTTACTACTGCTTTTCGTCGCATGTAGGGTTTCATTAGGTTACTGTGATACACTTTGGGGCATTTCCGGCCCCACTTTACCTCGTAGTTGGTGTCTGAAAGCACTGACATCACTGTCGCTGGTCCCTCCCATTGTACGTCCAGCTTGTTTTTTCTTGAAGGGCACAACAGCATCACCTCATCGCCCACTCTAAAGACTCGCTTTCGAGCTGACTTATCGTAACGGGCCTTGGAAAGTGCCTGTGCTGCGCGCATGTTGCTCTCCACCACTTCGCGTGTAGTCCCCAGTCGCCCCAATAAATCCAGTACATAGGAAACCACATTAGGGTCCTCCCCATATCCAGTCCATGACTCTCGTATCAAGTGCAGCGGACCTCTCAAGTTCCTGCCGTAGACAAGTTCAGCCGGACTAAAACCCGTACTCTCGTGTGGGGCCGACCTCAGAGAAAACATCGCAGCTGGTATACACCCCTCCCAGTCACTTTTATGCTCAAAGCACAAAGCTCGCAAAACGCGTTTCATGACCGAGTGCATGCGTTCCACAGGGTTCGACTGTGGATGGTGAATAGAGCTATGCGCGATTTTTATCCCGCAGCGTTCTAGGAATGTAGTCGTAAGGCAGCTTGTGAACACACTTCCGTTGTCACACTGTATCTCCGAGGGAAAACCCACCCGAGAAAAAATAGACAACAATGCGTCCACCACGCATACTGAACTCAACTCTTTCAGTGCGATTGCCTCCGGGAACTTGGTGGCAACGCACAGCGCGGTCAGGACGTACCGATATCCTGATTTAGATGGAGGCAGAGGCCCCACGATGTCAATCACGAGCCGACGGAAGGGTTCTGTGACTATGGCACTAGTTTCATTGGTGCCTTCCATTTGTCTGTTTGATTTTCCTATCCGCTGACAAGTGTCGCATTCACGGACAAACATCTCTACATCCTTCCAGCACCCGGGCCAGTAGAACTCCTGAGCCAGCTTAGCTTTCGTTTTCTTATACCTAAGTGGCCCGCCCAGGCGTTGCTGTGGGCCAGGTCGAGAATGTTCCGCCGGTATTTTAGTGGAACTACCACTTGGTTGTAGACCCCGCCCTTTAGCGTTCTCATACCTGCGATGCAACACCTCGTTTTGGGTGTAGAACGAAACGTTCTTCCTAGAGTTACCTTCCTTATGTATGGCATCTAGCAGTATAGAGAGTGCGAGATCCGCCTTTTGATCGACCACTAGCGTTGCACGGTCGGTTCTGGCTAGCTGACACCAACTGGTGGACGCGGGTGTTAACACCGAGCCTGTCACCAAGTCCTCGTTTTCGGGCGTTAGAGATATTTCCTCGCTGTTGTCGACCATAGCCCCAGTTTTCCGTCTCGACAACTCGCATGGCAGACTCATTTTCCGTCGCAACTACCTCAGGTTTTCCTACACTGCCCTCGGACGTCTGTTCCCCAGAGGGTGAGCTGCTCAGCTGTTGCGTCAGCTCGCGCGCCTTCGAACGGGTAAGGGCCATGCAAGCTATTTCGGTGGCAAATGATTCTCCACGTGTTTTTAACATTTCCTCAGACTTATTGAAAATAGGTAAGGGAAGTGCTCCGGAAGGTTGGCTGAAATTGCTGCTTCCGTACACAATTGGCCGAAAGGGCCCTCGATCACAACCCTCGCTATCGGTAGGCAGACGCTTTGCTTTTCTGCCACCTGCCGAATCCAGGCACACTCTCCTATATAGTCTTCGGAAGATACGCAACTTGGATGCGCTACATCCATTGTGGCCGCCGAGTCCCTCAATACCCTACACATTCGGCCGTTCACTGAGAGTGTCCTCATGTAAGGCTTCAACAGCTTTAAGCTATCCTCTGACTCCTGAATTGTGGCAAATGCCATGTGCCTCTTACAGCTCCTGGCCATGTGGCCCTTTTCTCCGCAGCTGTAGCAAACAACTGGCTTCCGCGCTTCTAACGCATGCGCTATGTCACCAGGCGCCTTTGAACCTGATGAAGGTGCCGCCTTAGTCCCCTCACTGTCCTTTCCCTGCTGACTGTCTAATAACTTGGAATTCTCGGGTTTCCAGTTATTTCTTGCAAACCTCTTGCGTCCCTGGTTTCCCGACCAGCTTTCTACCTTTTCATTTTTTTTCCGAAGTTCGTGGTGTACTGCGGAGACTACGGCGTGAGCAGTAATCTTCGGCGAGTTCTGCTGCCCTGTTCATGTCTACGTCTTTCATCCTATCCTGCACCCAAAGCCTTACCTCCTCGGGAATTCCCCGGTAAAACTGCTCAAGTACCATCAACTCAATGACCTTGTCATGGTTGCCATAGACTTGCGCGCTTTTGAGCCACTCTTCAAAGTTGGCTCTAATTTGGTAGGCATAGTCTGAATGAGATTCGTTGCCCCTCTTAGAGTGCCTGAACCGCAGGCGGAAAGCCTCTGTCGATAGGCGACATTTTCGTAGCAATGCAGCCTTTACCCTGTCATACACCTCGGAGTCCTCTTTATTCATTCTTGCGATAACATCGGACACTTCGCCTGGTAGTACGCATATCAGTTTTTGTGGCCAAGTCTCCCTACTAAACCCTGCATTTTCGCATGCTCGCTCAAAATGCACGAGGTATAATGCAATGTCGTCACCCGCCTTGAAGGTGTGGATTAGATCCTTTATCTTTGATTCTCCACCCCCTGAATTTCGATTTCCCACGGACATACGAAGCTCCAGTTCTTTCAGACGGATTTCATGTTCTTTATCCTCGCGATCCCTCCTTATTTCCTCCTCTCTCTGTTCACGGGCTAAGCGCTCACGCTCCTCTTCTTTGCCAAAATGGTTTCTCTGGCCTCAATGGCCTCTTCTAAACTCACTTCCTCTTTTCCCAAGTGCTCCAAAATTTGTTGTTTTCTTTTAACCGAGCCGACCGAAATATTCAGCTCCTGACAAATTTCGAGGAGTTCTTGGACCTTAAACTTCTCCATCTTAGATATGCACACCGTTTCTCTTCTAAGGTAATTTTGCCCACGAGCCACCCATTCTTGGTCTGCGAATCAAAATTTACCAAAATCACCCTACCACGTTACCGACCATCTGCGCTAACGAGTCTGGCGAAAAGAAGAGCAAACACGCGGCACTCACCACTTCGATGCAGCCGACGCAGGCGAATCCCATAAGCTGCCAGCCACTGTTGCGCCTTTGGGTAGCGTGGTGCGGACTCGGGCCATCCGAGTCCCCGGAGAGGACGAGTAGAGAAGCCGGAGAAGGAGAAAAAAATGTTTATATACAGTATTTACATGGTAGCGTGGTACAACGTGAAAAGAGAATCACCCACGAGCGCCTCTGCGCTAGCGTTTTTATACATCGTCCGCCTTCCCAAGATCCCTTGCAAAGAAAATTTATGCGCAGGATACTCCAATGAGATCGTCGTCTTCCTCTCCGTCCCCGAAGAGGGAAAGCCAAACACCGCCTCCCTCTGAACCTAGGAAAGGGGGCAAGGCATGCCCAGTTCGCTGTTTGGTGAGGGAGACCCCACGCGCCAGCGTGGCACCACAGTGAGATGACGTGGAATCCCATGCGCAAAGTCGCTCCCTGATGCAGCCAGGTTGACTCAAGCAAGGCAGAATACCCCGTACAGCTGCTGGGTCGACGCTGCTTCGGAGTGTCGCTCTCGGCGGCTGACAAAAGCTTGGCCAACGACTTTTGTGTCAAGAGGAGCCGGCGACGTGGTTTTTCCCGATTGTCCGCGTCCGTCGCCGTCCCGGTGCAGGGTTGACTCATCAACAGCTGCCAGGTGCCAGCAGGCCGCGAAGACCACGTGGAACTTGGGCGAGGCACAACAGGGTTTAACATCCCGAAACCGCCATATGATTATGAGAGAAGCCTTAGCCGTAACAGAGGGCTCCGGAAGTTTGCCCCTAAATTTCAGAATCAGAAAGGTTTTGTTTTCTAACGAAATTGTTGGGGGTCTGTCAGACGAAAAGCAGCATTAAAGTACACGGGCCTCGAGCATTTGTGCTTCCATCGAAAGTGTGGCCGCTGCGGACTGGATTCGATCCCGCGACCTGCACCGTAACCACTAGACCACATTGGCGAGTGTTAACCACCCTGCGTCGGACCCGATGATATTTACGACGCACTCGAGCGTTCCCACTTGTACTGCACACGTTAGCACTGTCCGTATGAACAATAGTCTCGAAGGGACACTGCCGCTGAGTTTACGCTCACAAACATTTCCCGCGTTTTTCATCCGCGCAAATCAGTTCGATTTGATTGTCGCACTGTGAAGAGCAACGCCGTACCGATCGTCGCAGTGTCCGAGTACAGCTGGTGGTGGTCAAGCATGAAGAGCGGGCTCAGGATCACCAACGAGCAGCACGCGTGCAACGCCAGGTCAACGGCGAACGCCGAGCCCCAGAAAGCAGCCGAGCTGGCACCGCACTGCAGCTGAAGCAGCTTCACGTTGCGCACGCGTTCCTGCGACCAGAGTGTTACGCCACACCGAAAATGCCTCTGACTGTCATAGCCGTACAGGTTGATATTTTGCCGCGGCTTTGTCAGGCACCGCGGCGGAAGTTTGCTACAGATACGCGGATGAACTACACGAGATAACATGTAATAATTTATATATATTTACAGAGTACCTACATCGCCATATAGGCATTACGTAGGGGGGGGGAACAAAAAACAGTCAGTACAAAGGAATTCGTAGCAAAATACATAATGCACATGAAAAAATAAAAATAAAAAAGAACCACCGCCATATTTATCAGAACATAATAATGCATCACAAAACACATTTTCATACACACAGAACATACATAATGCAAGAAGAATTTCACAGCATAGAAAAAAGGAAATCATTATTTGTTATATCAACCAAGTCGTCACTTAAGCTGTTCCACTCTCTTATTGTTTTTGGAAAGAATGAGTGGAAAAAAAGTATTGGATCTGCATTTGAAGGTAGATATCTTTTCGCTATTGTCACAGCGAGTGGATGTGTAGGGGGGGTTGAACAAGGTAGCTATGGTGATTGATTCCTGTGTTAGAGTAATATATCGGGTGCAACAGTTTAAGCCATAGTTTTTGTCTACGTACACGTAGCAGATCGCATCCCAAAGTGGCCTTCATTTGTGAAACGCTGGCGTAGGAGCTATAAAAAATTACAGAAATAAGGCTATAAAGCTATTACAGAAATTCAAGTTGGCATCTGTAGCCTATTTTTATGAGTAAAACTGACAAAAAAATTAAAAAGAGGAAATGTCAAAACAATAACGCGAATTCCGATTTGAAAAGGTGGCTTCATGGCAGTATTTTACAGCTACGTAAAAAAGCTAGCTTTAGCTTTGCGACCATACGCACTCTATGATAGATCCTTTTTAAAAATTGTTACTGATATGATAGTTCAGGGTGGGGGTTATACACGAGAAAATTCCACACTCTTTGTAGAGGGTGATTTCCAGTGTTGGTAGAATTCCAGTGGCGTTGGTTTGCGCGAAATAATGTTGGATAGTGTGCACTAAAGGGTAGCTATGGAATTGCTAAGCGTTGACTAATGTGTGTTATCCACAGTTTAGCCGCTACTTGTCTTCATACCAATCCAAAAACGCGCGTGCACATTGTTGATCTCCGAATGAACAAACGTCACGCTAAATAATCTCAGCAAACAGCATGACATCGTTCATTGTCACGTGGTCTCTGAAGTAACCACCCGCCCTTATTACAGGGCGCAAAATGAGCTCTTCATATTGTCTGCCAGGATGCGAGATAAATTGGATGTTGAGCAACAATTAAGGGCATAATAGACAGCATTCCACATATTAACTTGGCGGTACGTCTAGGGCACAGTGAGCGGGGGGGGGGGCATAAAAGCTAGGCCCACTCTGGACCCCCGCCCCCTCATACACACACACAGACATGCAGTCTCGCCTCGAGCTGAGGCGAAGCCGCAAATATTTTTTTTGGGGGGGGGGGGGCGGTCAACTAACCTTTATGTGCGCGCGTATGTTTGTATGCGTCAGTGTAAATGAGAACGCAAAATTGAAATTTTTCGAAGTGGGTAGTGTAGTGTCCCCCACCCGCCTGGCAGTGCCTATGCCATTGTTTCTTACGTCGCGCAGAGCATACCTCCACTGGAAAGAGAACGTAGGTAGCGCCGAGAAAAGCCAGTCCGACGGGCATGAAGACGGCGCACATCAAGCGCGTGGCAAGCACTATCGTGGGGTCTGGTTCCGGCCTCGGATTTTCCTTGGGCAGCGGATGGTTGACCACGCGCAGCTGCCAGCCGGGCAGAAAGGCGCGCGACGCAGCAACTATGGATACCGCTGAAGAATGTGGTGAGTAGCCGCTGTGCCATGCTGTCACCTGTACGCACCGTAAGGTACAATATTAACGGAAAAAGGAAGTCACAGGTGACCGGTTGCAGGAGCGGCAAGATTGCGACAAGAGGCACTGCGTTTTTTCCGAGCGTGCCGATATCGAGAGAGTCAAGCACATTCAATTTTTTCAAAGTAGGGGTGACCGGCGAAAGCACTCCAACAGGCAGCTTTTTCAGGGCAACTGCAATAAAAATACGGTTGCTCGCAACTTCAGCGAAAAAAGGAAAAAAAGGGGCATCGTGTGCGTAGCCACATGGGCCGATAAGCAAGAGCAAGCGTTTCTTTAAGATGTGACATTTCGAATGGGCCAAAAGCAAATTGGGCCAACCGCCGGTCCGCCAGCCACCTCTGCTACGGGAAATGGAATGTGCTCGGTAACCGAGCTATCGGCGTGCTCGTGAATAACGTCGTCACGTGTGGCAATTTTCTGGCTCCCTCCACCGTTCAGTTGTATCAATCTTTTTGCGTTGAAACTGTGCATATTTTCATACAACGGCTACCTCTAGAGAAACTCGCAGGGTCGCTTTGCACTCGCTTAGGACGACTCGCCGGCAAAATACATCTTTTCTTCTCAGTCGATGCACTGATCCTCCTCCGACCACCTACGAAAGCTTTCTGCACCTTACGTGGTTTTGCATTGCCTCAAGGATTGGAGGCATGTCGAGTTTTCTTGACCTCACCTGGTTTTTCACTGCCTCCGTGATTAGCTCCACTTTAACCATGAGACTATGTCATGTGACGACGGCGTCATGTTATGTAGTTATGTAGAAATACGCGACGTCATGGTGACAAATTTGAGCGGTCTGTGATTTTGTGTCAACGTTATATGGTGACGTCATCACGTGATTATTATTTTCTTTTTCATATCTCGTGTTGACACGTCACATCGCAGGGCACTGACACTGTTGTCGTCACTGGTCAATTTCTCGTTTGATTAGGCATCTAGCACCTTAATATCACAATAAGTTAAATAGGAACCAAGGAGACTGTGTCATAAAACGCTGTAAATCTTACCGGCACCAAATGTGCCAAGCTGCTAAAGTGTGTGTGTTTTTTTTTGGGGGGGGGGGGTATACATCAAAACACATAAGAAAGCTTTATATAGCTTCATGCGGACGACATGTTTTCTAATTTAGCTGGAAGTTAGGAGATGATTAGCCACGACATGCTGTAAATCAAGGGAGTTCTGCTGCTCTCACCAACTTTGCTACGACGTTTTGTGGTCGAATTTTCCGGAGCCCTCCACTACGGCGTCTCTCATAATCATATGGTGGCTTCGGGACGTTAAACCGCACATATCAATCAATGATAAAGCGGTTGAACGCTCATTTACATGTACCCACGGCATGAGGTACAAAAAAAAGAAAATATTATATGCACGTAATGTGATTTCATTCACAGCGGTGATGAGAGATTCTATACTTAGTTCATCATCTATGCTTCGACGTCAAGGTCAGTAAGTCTGCAACGAAGATTACTACGAAAGAAATATGTTGCTTTCGCAACAACTTTAATGTGCCATCACTCCCCATCACAGTATAGTCGCATGTCACTCATGGGTACATGTTACATTGACTTAATTCGAGTTCGAAAACGATTCACATACATCAAAGCATTATGGGAAGGCTAGTTGCACCACTACTAAAATCCACCGCTATGCTTCACATCGCGATTGGTTGAGATATTATCTTGCGAAAATTCTGAGTGTAAGGTGTGAAAATTGAATGCGGACTCACGGTAGTATCCAGGAGGTTTAGTGAAGCCACAGCGGCAAAAACGCGTACAGTGACCAAGGAATATGACATGACGTGCAGACGTCTTGCCCTTTCCTTTGGTCCGTGTGTTTTCGGCACTGTGGCTTCACCAAATGTATCAAACTGACTAGCTCAGAAGTCCTTTTTCGTAGCCACAATTCTTTTAGCGAACGGAAGGGGGGGGGGGGGGGGGGGGGGTTCAACTATTCGGTATGTACAGTCCTTAACTCGAACGATCCACAGCGTGTCCTTAACTATTTTCGTTGACGCCAACGATCATAACTTTGGGCTCTGTAGCTGAGATGTTACAATGCATGTCGACATACTATCCAATTATATCGAGGTATTATCTCGGCAACAGCGTCGAGCACTTTGCGGTTGTAATCGGTGAAACCAGACCAGGCCACGCTGCAGAGCATTTGTGTTAACCTTGCTGACGACTGTACCTTCGCGAGTGTTTTGTATATGTAGGTGTATATATAAACACGTAAAACTGTAAAACCTCGAGCAGTATAACCCCCCCCCCCCCCCCTTTTCCACCCCAAGCAAACTTCAAGTCCGTGGCTACGTTCTGCAGTGGTGAGTATTGCGGTATACGTCGCACCTCCACGGCCGTCTCATTGTCCGTGTCCAGGCTACCTGGCAGGAAGGCGCTGTCCGGAACTCCGGACAAGTTGCTGGTGGATCTGAACTGGGCGCCGATGATATATTGCGAACGGTAGCGGCGGTAGTTGGTCAACGCCAAGTTCTGCAGCCACGGTTGCGGATCGGCATTGCCAAGGTCACGCACTTCGGCCCCTTGCTCATCTCGTAAGTACCTGGAAACATGTTTTGTTTAACATATGACAGTGTTGCGAGTTCACTACGATATTCAGCAGATAAACTCATCCCAACAGTGCCAACGAAAAAGCTATTGTTCGCTCCAGCCTTACGAACCAAAGTCACGGAGCTAAAATGAACACATAAATACGAAATGTCCTTGACGACTGCTGCGGCACCTGGAGTGAATTGATGGTATCCCATTCGCTATGTTGGTCTATGTGAATTCAAGTCACACGCAATGTTAAGATTTAGGTGCGTAGCCATTGCATAGGCGTAATGATGCCCAATCAACGAGTGCGTAGACAAGCTCAACGTGTGTTAGCGCCCCTTCGATTATCCTACATGAAAAAGAGTATGGCTTTCTCCAGCAACATCCGTTCCTCCTCTTTGCTCGTTTCTCGTACAAGGTGTAGATTTGTACTTGTGTGTTCCTTACTCGTCCATGTTTTCAGGCAGCGCTTTCACGCAGATCAAGGTCACTATATGAAACAATGAATCGATTCATCGATAAGTTGTACTTTGAGGCCTTTAATGTCTGTAAATTCACCATCGTAGGTTTCTTAATAGTGCAGAATATCGAGGCCAAAGTTTCACTTTTAAATTTCGCGCCACAATATCCGCACGTTACGTCATAGATTTCAAAGCGCATTTTTCTTATTTTTGTGACATCGATGCGGCGGTTGGGCTTGGCCTGACTGTGCCAACGTGGGAGCAGCCCGTTGCACGTTTAGTCGTCCACTTACAATAGAGTTTCACATCCATCCATGGGTTCGACGATGTTTCTGAAAATTGGTACGTTAAGTGTATCCATAGCCATTCTCAGATGACAGTGTATGCACTTCTTTTTTACTGATTAGGGACAACGGAGAGCCTAATATACACCGTTAAAATGTAACGTCACGTTTGGTGCGAGAATTACAATGTGGCGGCTTAAATCACAATATCATTTTCGCGTGTTTTCTCGCTTACCAGGCGTGATTTTGGAATTGCGGGAAAGTAATTTACTGATACGAGAAATATCGTTTTTCGATTCATTGTCCTTTTAAGTCAGGGGATGGCAGAGCATCTTACAGAGCATGCCCCTCGTACAATGCTACAGTGCCCCGCAAGCGGCGCTGTTAGCCCGCAGTTAATAGCAATTACTTTGCAATTACTCCGAATCGAAGGACAAGGTCGACCTCACTTTTCGTATTCCTGAGCGGCAGGGTTCGCTCGAGGTGGACACATCGGTGGTGTAAAACGCGAACCGTGTGTCCGAAGACGTTCAGCAGCGAGTACTCGACGGGCCCGGAGTAGGTGAGCTTCCGAGAAATGTGCGTCTGGTTGATGTAGGCGAACAGCAACAGGACCTGCCGAAGCGCAAAGCGACACGGTCAAGTCACAGTGCAATAGACAGTTCAGACGTCATGCTGAGTCGCTCTATGAAGTCGGCCATGCGGCCTATTACGCTACGTCGGCACTCGTAATTGTGGTCATATCCATACTTCTCTCGCACTTGCAATTCACATTGATTTATGGGCTTCAGAGCCAAGAATGGGAATTAGGCCCACGATCTCGAGTTGCGTTTAAATGCACTGCTTCTCTTCTGCATCCCACCCGCAGCTCAACGCCAATTGCAGCGAGTAGCGGAGTCGTGCTTAAAAAGGCATGAAAGAGACCAGCACAAAAGAAACAGGACAGCACGCTTAGGTTGTTTACGTTTTTTTTTATTTCATGACTTCTCGAACATCAATGCGAACCATCTCTCCCATTGTGTTGAGCACCCAGAAATGTACTCATCAGAGTGGGATACAGAGTGAATAGATATGTAAGCAAACTCGTAAAACGAACAACGCAGAAAAGATGCTTCTGTTGTTGGAGCTTAACGTCCCGAAACCGACACATGATTATGAGAAACGCCGTAAGGGAGGGCTCCAGGCCTCAAGCATTTTCACTCCATTGAAAACGCAGCCGCCGCGGCCGGGATTCTATCCCGCGACCTGCGGGTCAGCAGCCGAGCACCTTAGACACCAGACCACCGCGCCAAAGAGAGTCAGAGTGAGCAAGGTGAGTGATCGAGTACACTAAAAAAAAAAAAAAAAGAATTTGTCTCGCTGAGTCCTGACCTCTTACGTATATATGCCATTGGCTTTGAATCTCTTGTGGGTCACAAGAGTTTTCTACAAGAGTACAACGACCATCTCCTAAGAGAGTTTATGTGTTTCTTTAAAGGGAGCCGTTAACGTGATGAAGTCAGGACTCACTGAAAAGTCAAATTACCTTTTTTTTTGCCTTTTACCGTGTAAGAGTGAGTGAAATCGCTCGTGAGAAAAGTGGTCGAGCAAGTAAGCGAGTCATTTGGGTGCACGTTAAAGAACCCTATAGGTGGTCGAAATATCCGGAGCCTTTCACTACGGCGTCTCTCATAATCATAAGGTGGTTTTGGGAAGTTAAATCCCACATATCAATAAATCAAGTAAGCGAGTCAGCGATTGAGCAAAGTTGTGAACAATGAGCTAAAAGGTGAGCGAGTGGGTCAGGAAAAAGAGCACGCGAACAAAAACGAAGCGAGGGTACCGATGAGAGAAACCATTTTCGTAACTGTAAAGATAGCTTTTTTTTTTTGCGATTAAAAGAAAGCCAGCATGTTCAAGCGCAGTTTGCTTGCGCTATGACGCGGTAAATATAGACTCGCATCTCTCGATGCAGACACGCGTAATGCACAAATTCGAGCATATGCAACCTTCTGTCCACTCGAATCACAACATACACCGCCGTTAGTTTGGTGATTGTGCAGTGCAAAAAAACGCACGTGCAGGTTATGGAAAAAAAAAAAAGGCCTATGAGGTGGTAAATGAACGAGCCAAACTGAGGGAAGCACTGACCGATAGCGGCAGCAGCAGCATCAGTACGGGCAGCCTTAAGTCGCGGAGATCGTACTGTAGCTTCTTGGCGACGAGCGCGCCAAGCTGCTGACTCAGGTGGGGCCGCAGTTCGCCGGTCGACGAGAAATTCGCCTCGATCGCGGCGGCAGCAGGGTAGCAAACCACCGGCTCTTGTCCCGCCACGTGAACGTCGGGAAGCTGCTGCTGCGGCGCCCGTTGCTGAGGTGGGGTGCTTCTGCGGTCCGAATCCAACTCGACTCGCCTCATCACATCTTCGAGAGCCGCCACGTCGACCGAGAGCGATTGCATCGCATGACCCTGCCACGCCTCCTCTAGCTCCTTCAGCAACTGCGTGGCAGAGCAAAAGTGACCCATTTTGCGACAAGAATGCTAAATCCGATAAGAGACGACCGGCCAGAGTGTTAACACCACTTTTTAGCTATCTTATTTATGATTTCTTAAATCAGTCCATGACACACATGAGGTTTTGTAATTTGATGTGTCGTCTCCAGTTGATAGGAAACATCTCCTGGCACTTCAGCACTGTACTGGTTCCTTATCTTCTTTGTTACCGGATGCCAGATACCGGCTACCTCATTGACATAGCGATTGCCGCGGTTTGGCATCAAGAAACCGCGATGTGATTACGGGGGACGCTGCTGTAAAGGGCTCCGGATATATCTAACAATCTGGGGTTTTTCAGCTAAATACGAGTACGCGAGCGTCTATAGCATTTCGTCGCTGCCAGATTCGCCGAATGTAAGACGCCGCCTCTTTTAAGTTTTTCTTCCTTCTTTCTTTTCTGCGGCACACTCCCATCTTAGTTTTATTTAGTCCTATCTATACCCTTCTTCATCCCACTGGGATATTCAGGGGATGACCACATGTTCTATATTGTTTGGTGACGGTGAAGTATACAGAACTCAATCCGAAAAGGACTGAACTGTTTAGTAGGACAAACTTGTGCCCAGAATTAGAATTAAAATTCGAAGTGCGATTACAGCGGTGGTAACACTCGCCGGTAGTCTATAAAAAAAACTGATCAGTGTGATAAGGCACGCCGGCACTTTATACGCGTGATGTCGAAATTCAGCGCTGGTGGCCGCGTTAGTTGCAGAATGAGCCTGACGGTTCGCGTAGTGCGCGCTAACTTATCAGACGACTCTAGGATAAGCAGGAAAGTTCTCAGGCATTGCGCCGAAGTTTGTGCTTAGAGCGATGGTTACACGTGAACTAAGTATCTGCATATATATAAATACAAAAGGAAGGACGCGTGGCAATGTACAATAAATATAAAGTGTTTGGTGATGCGATGGAAATACATATGGCTCGCGGCACATTGAGGACCTACAAATACACAAAAGTAGATTGCTTTCTGTAGGCTTACAACATCCCTCATTGGTTAGCTAGTCTGCGAGGGCTTCCAAGGCAGTATTCAACCTTACTATTATATTTATAACTTCAAAATTTGTTAGATGTTCGAGATAAATAGTGTTATCTCACATGATCTATCAATTAAGGCTAAAGTTACGCAGTTATAGTTATCGTCGTAAAACTGCTCGTTTATTTCATTCGAAAGTAAGTCTTGCCGAAAGTAAGAAATAGCAGCTTGAAAGCATTTAACAGCACACGTGCTAAGGAGCTTTATTTGCCGAGTGATTCCTTATTTAACCGCAAGACCAAAATAAACCAAATAATAATATTCTAATTTGAACTCAAACAAAGTCATCAATGTGGCAAGTGTACGTGACACAGTGGCAATAAAAAAAATATACAAGTATTAAATAGAGGTCCCGCTAGAAGATCTCAAGCGGTTATACAGCACATAGATAAAGGGTAATTATGATTAGCAGCGTAAAACGTGACACAGTGGCAATTAAAAATATACAAGTATTAAATAGAGGTCACGCTAGAAGATCTCAAGCGGTTATACAGCACATAGATAAAGGGTAATTATGATTAGCAGCGTAAATACGAACTGCATGCAGGTGACGCTTACCTCAATGAGCGTATTGACCCGAACGTCTCCAACATTGACATGCTGCGTTCCACCGCGGCGAAGGTAATTAAGCGGCGCCGTGTACTCGCCATCTTCGATGTGGGCTGCCGGTACGTGCTTCTGAAAGACGCGGGTCAATTCGTCAAGGTCTTCGTGGACGGCGCTTTCTTCCAAGGTCACGCGAATCCTGTAACCCGTACCTGTGCGCAAGAGAGCAACAAGTAGTCGTGGTTGCACGTGTATACGTGCAACACTCAGGAATTGTAAACCGCTTGGACAACCTTCGTCTTTGCGCCGAATAACTAGAAAAGATCTTTCTGTGCGACGCAAACAGCGCTTATAGATTAACCATGGACCCGCACACCACTGGCGTAGCCAAGGGTGGGGTGGAGGGGGGAGTCAGCCCCGCTTCTCCCCTAAAAAATTTTCAAGCTGAAGTGTGTATGTATACACGCACATGCGAACGATATATTTTATGATTGAACCCCTCCCCTCTAAAAAAATGAAAGTATAACATTTTGGCTACTCTCTTGCTGCACCCACCTGCACAAACACTCACACGTGTATACATGCACGCACACATGCGGACATGCAAACATGCAGCGTGAATTTTTGGATTCCAGGTGTCAGAATCACAATGCGCTGTGGTAGGGGACCGTCTATTCATTTTGACCACTTGGTGTTAACATGGCCATCGATTCAAGTTCATAGGCGTCTTTGCGTCCCGCGCACTGTGGCCGCCTCTTTCAGTTATCGAACACACGCCTCCTTTGCAGCGCCAAGAGGTGGCCTCTAACATAGAGTTTCCTAATATACACTAGAGGGAATTCTGGCGCTAGTGTCTATGTGAGCTGCCACGCGCGGCGCTTCAGCGAGCATGGGAATGATGGGTAGTACACGCATTTGTTTAATCTTCGTACTTCTGGCCTGCTTCTGGCTCCGTGTGTATTCGTGTGTCTTGGAGCTGTTTTCTCACGAAACAAAAATCAGCAAACGTTCAGCGGTTGTGCTTCACCACCTTATTTTTTTAAAGCTTACCTTTTCAAATCAGGTCACGCAGTTCAAAAGGATTCGATCTTTTCTTTAAAACGAAACCGTAACCAGCAATAAACGAAGCCACAAGTACGAAGACTAGGCAAATGTGTGTACTACCCATCATTCCCATGGTCGCTGAACGATCGCAGCGCCAGAGTCCCCACTAGTTAATTTTAGGAAACTCTATCCTCTAAGTCCACTCTGCATGTGCACGCAGATTCACACAGCAAGTTCCGGCGTGCGTGAACACAAGGGCGTTGCAAAACGCCGAATCCGCATGACGGTGTATTCTAATCACCACTGTGCACGATACCGTAAGTCTTGCGCAGGAAAAGCGAGGAGCCACAGCAGCGTATCCTGCCGGCGGCCATCACGGCGATGCGGTCACCCAGCGTGTCGGCTTCCTCCATGCTGTGCGTGGTCATCAGCATGGTCTTGTCTTCGTGGAAGCGCAGGACGCACTCCCAGAGGGCGCCCTTGCACTCGGGGTCAGCACCTGCCGTCGGCTCGTCCAGCACAACGATCTGCGAGTCGCGGCTTCGGTACTAAACGCCTACTGGTTGGAGCATGGGCCACTTCTGTTCGCGGGGATTATAACTACTCCAGAAGCGGCTTTTCTACAGATGCGACCAGATTGAACGTTCTACCTATGGGCAAAGAAAGCGAGAACATCGCTACAGTCTTCGCAGTATTACAGTAGCCGCGGCTGTTTATACGCACTCAACCTGTATGTTGTTGTTAAGTACCGTTGTGTCGCTGTCAACTCCTATATATACGGTAGTCCGACACAACTTCAGTAGTCCGTGGCATTTCCTCATGGAAGCGCATGAGCACAAGCCAGCGCCAATGGGTATGCACTCGAGAGTGACGTCATGAGTTGGACTTCTGATTTTCCCGCCTTCGGAAAACGTTCATGCCGAGTGCTTGAGCGGGATTCTTTCATCGCGGAGGCGATCGAGTGCCGCTCTTAGCTCATTTAGGTGGTGCCAGTCTTCTCAAGTTTCATTTGGCAATAGTAACAGTATAAAGAGCTCAATTTTTTAGTGGTATGACAGCTGCGTCTTTCACCATCACAACCACGCGATAACAAATGTCGGACCTCGATGTAACAAATACAAGTATAACAAATGCTCGGTTATAATGAAGTGGATAAACAATTGCAGTTTACTTTAACACAGCGTTGAGAATACACGTTAATAACGGAGTTTGGGACACAGTGAAGTCGTTTCCACGTCATGTGTGACTTCGTTGTAATGAAGTTGGACTGTAAACGCCAGCTTTAGTTTACAGTCAATGCATGTTATTTATCGCATACGATTTAAGCTCCCCAGCACATTTCACATAGTGGTGCATTTACTTCACACAGAAATACTACCTTAGCTAGCTCCTGTCAATGGAAAGGGGCGACAAACTTCTGAACGCAACAACTTCGGCACCTCCGGACATCGCATACATATATTGTAACCCGTTCCAAGCCAAGCAGGAAACTGTTTTTAACTGATTTATCTTATATCTGTGTCACCCGGGCGCGCAAAAAGTCTTTTAAGTAAGCGGTCTTTTACGAAGTTGAAATACTTTTAACAAACGGCGCAGACACACGGCAGCAACGATTTCCTTTTAGTGTTTTCGTTCGAAGACGCTAGCGAAAGCGTGGCGCTAGCAGTTAAAAGAGAAGCAATGAAAAATAAACGATGTATCACGATGTACAAATTAAAGACTTGTTGCACTACTCGTTTCTTCAAATAAACTTAAGAATAAGAGATGAAGAAACACTTGTGCAAAATGGCGCGGCGCGAGACCGAGCGTCACCACGTGATATTGTCGACGCGTTGTGGCTGCTTACGAGAGTAGAAAAGGAAATAACCATTAAAAGAGTTCATTACACCTTCTGCAGGATATGAAATTTGTTTTTACAAAGAGTTTTGGTGACAGAAAAATAAGCATTCGCTCTTTTTTTCCCACCACTCAAAAATTGCTGGCGCCCACTGGTTTCGAGGCTACTCATTCGGAGCCGTAAAAGAGATCGACGAACTCCGTTTACGAAAAAGACCGCTTCTGAAAAGGAGTTCGCTCTGTGCCGTGTGTCTGCTGTCAGGAACTCCTTTTCGGAAAAAGACCGCTTACTTAAAGGACTTTTAAGTGCCCGTGTGACAGGGGTATTATATTGTGCGAGGAGTGGATGGCAGCGAAAAGTGAAGTGAATGACGGTTTCAATACGTCAGATGACATGTCACCGGGAACCCGGAGTGCTACAATTAAGGCTGCGCAGAACGACACGCTGCTGTCGAAGGAGGAAAGGCGCCTTTGTACGCCAAGCTGGAGTATAGCGAGTCCGCTATAGCACACGCGCGTGTTTGGAAAATATCAGAAAGCAAGATATCGGTGCAGGTGGGAAAATATAGAGGTGTTTCTCAACTAGGAAAGCTATTAGATGGTACAGAACATGTCCATTCGAAAAAAAAAAAGGAAATGGTTACCTGAGGGTTACCCACAACGGCGATGCCAAGTTGAAGCTTTCGCCTCGTTCCCCAAGAAAGCGAGCTGGCGAGGGTGTCGCGTTTATCGGATAAGTTGAAGGCCGCGAGTATCTCCTCGATAGCGTTGTTCGCCGTCACCCAGCTGTCACCCCGAATCTGCACTTATAAAAACAGGGGAAAATGTTATCTGATCAGCTTAAATCTGATTGATATATGGGGTTTAACGTCCCAAAACTACCATTTGATTATGAGAGACGCCGTAGTGTAGGGCTCCGGAAATTTCGACCACCTTGGGTTCTTTAACGTGCACCCAAATCTGAGCACACAGGCCTACAACATTTCCGTCTCCATCAGAAATGCAGGATAATCTTAAATCATCTCCTCTAAATAATTAAAGTACTTCGGCCACAGTATTCACGCCAACCTAAAACAAACTGAAAGCCTTGCAAAACGAGCAACCCATCTTCAAGCACTTTTATTTTTTACGGTACCTTCGCTACACCGGTGTGAAGTGTGAAATCATGGGGAGCTTATCATACATATTACCTGAAATACATATCTTTTCTTAAATTATTCATGGTTATAAATATTCGTGGTATATGTTAAGCAAAAGCACGGCTGAAAAAACGCAGGGTGAGCAGAAGCACAAGGTTGCTTCACTGATTAGTCATACCTATATAAGGAGAAAAGAAATATGACCAATCAGAGTGAAAGTTGGGGAAAATTGGTGATTCATGGTATTGGTACACTGCGTAGAACAATACAAGGACAAAAAAAAAACAGACGGAGACCAGCACAATCTGTTGTGTCGTCTCCTTCATTCCACGCTGTGTACAAATAATAACAAAAATATAACGCTACGAGGCTGATTATAATAATGCAACGTATTGGAAAGCTGATTCTTTCATTTGATTTCACTTTCACTCCAAAAGTAGGCCTAACAAGAGAGTCTACAATCGGCAGGCTCGGTTCAGTATGATTGGTTCGGTTTTAACGTATGCGGACTCGATGTTCTTGAAAGGGTGTAAAAATTAACTTCTTAGTGGTGATGCACGGTAAAAATTGTATCGAACCGTGAAGGACACGCACAAAGAAAGTGAAGACATGCAGGACGAACGGCATCCCTTTCTTCATTTTCTACACGTTTCACCATCAATATTCTTGCGCAGCTTCCAATTTTTTTACTGCGATAACATAGGCTTAGCGTGCTCGATGCAACCTGCAGGCGCCGCAGCTGCACATTGCCGCCATCCCCAATTGGCTTATCAGCGCGGCGGTGAAAAATACGCCAACTCAACGCGACATAAATATACACTGCCAGCAAATGTTGTCAAAATTCAAAATGTACTGTGCTAGCCATCTTTGTCTGGCTCGAATTTCATCACGTTGCGCTCACTCCCAGAATCGTTGTCCATCAATCCTGCATGGCTCTATTACGAAACTAACGCCCGTATTCACAAACGCTCCTCGACTCGACTTCCACCCTTCACTTGACAGAGTTGAGCACTGCGCCACCACTCGGCTGAAAATGACGCTGCGATACTCAAGAATCGCAGCAGATTATTGCTGATATGCAGCGACTTGCCGTGCCTAGAGACGGCGCTCCCATCGGCTTTCTCAAGTGAAGGTGAAGCGTTGAGTGAAGCTAGAATACGGGGGTAAGTCGCCCAGGGGCTCACCCTAGCGAAGAACTGCAGGTGCTCTAGGACGGTTAGGCCGAGGAAGAGTATGTTCTCCTGCGGGCAGAAGCCCATAGAACGGCGCGCCGCGTCCGTGTCCAGCGCCACATCATGACCCGCCACGCAGACGCTGCCGGCGGACGCCTCTTCGAGGCCCGTAATCAGTCGCAGCAAGGTCGTCTTGCCCGCGCCGTTGCGACCGAGAAGCACGGTGACATCACCGGGGTAGGCCTTGAGGCTGACGCGATAGAGGGCCACGGTATTCTTCGGGTAGACCTGAAACAATGCACGCAGGGGCTACAATTGTCCCATGCAGTGATTCTTTAACTAACGCTAAAGTACAGTTTTGATTGATGTGTGGGGTTTAACATCCCAAAACCACCATATGATTATGAGAGACGCCATAGTGGAGGGCTCCGAAAATTTCGACCACCTGGGGTTCTTTAACGTGCACCCAAATCTGAGCACACGGGCCTACAACATTTCCGCCGCCATCGGAAATGCAGCCGCCACAGCCGGGATTTGAACCCTCGACCTGCGGGTCAGCAGCCGAGTACCTTAGCCACTGGACCACTGTGGCGGGGCGCTAAAGTACAGTTTGGCTTATAGAGTAGATGAGAGTACATTGGCGGATGAATGCACGGATGAATAAAAAAAAATTGCTATAAACGACGCTAAAGTGGGCTTTTCCGCACATACATACTACTGAGGAAAAGCCATTATTAGTGAACACTTTATTGCTGAGAGCTGGAGCACTGGAGAGCTGCCGGTGCTCAATCATGTACAGGCATTCAGTCGAATCACATATGCCTTGGCCATCAATCGACAAAATATATATCCATTAAGACCTTATTTACTTTTCCAGTGTACCCAAACAAACAGACTTCGAGCTCCGTTATACTACAAGCATGCAGCTTAAACTACACGCACCTGTAATTTCCTATTTAGAGCTGAAAAAGATATGAATCGTCGAAAGGACCGCATCGTCGCAATGAAGTTCAATTCATTGATTGATTGAGTGGAGTGAGTGAGTGAGTGAGTGAGTGAGTATTGCTGTTGAGCTACGGCTGACCTTCGTGACGTTGTCGAGCACAATGCCGGGATTGTTCCGGTCTCCGACGCTCTCAAGCGGAATACCCGCTTCTGTGCCATCCTTCCTCTGATACTGCGAATGGATGGGCGCCTTGGGATGCCAGTAGCTCCCCTGAGAGACAAACATGCAAGAACAGGATGTAGTGGTGCCCTCGACCTGAGGCTAAATAACAGTATGCTGCCCTCGAGGGAGCCACTCACTCTGTTGAAAAAGAGAGGCTCCTTGGGAATGCCGTACTGCCACGGCCACACGTTGTCCAGGTACCAGACGAGGACAGCATAAAGCACGCAGTAGCCCAGGACGACACAAAACATCACCGCGAGGGTGACGTTGTCGTACGGCGAACCTGTCATGCCAATGTTGCTCCAACGGGCTCCTTGGTCTGGAAAGCAAGATAACATGTAGTAAGTAACACTATATTCAATCAATCAATCAATCAATCAATCAATCAATCAATCAACCAAACAATCAATCAGTCGATGTAAGCATCCTAACTCACCAGCCTGCGTTTACTTTTTCAACACTCACGGAAAACCCCAGGTATCACTACAATGATGTAAGATGAGGGCTGCAGCATTTGTACACTATTAGTAGTTACTCGGTTATAAGCCGAACAAAATATTTCAACAAAACAGAAAATTGGAGCTTTGGTAAAAAAAAAGAGAATTCCCGTTTGCAAAGTTGGATTGTGCGGCCGAGTTTGACAGCTATGAAAAAAAAAAAGCTGTCATACCATAATAGTAACATCGGAGATATACGCGGGAATCATTTCTAGAACTCTTTTTCGGGCATCGTTGTCGAAGGCGCGTTATATGCAAGAAAATACTATTGAACAGTGAATCTGGACGAGCGCTAAAAAAAGGCGGCTGTTTTAACTCCCACAAAACTTGTGTGATGGGCATATATGCATGCAATGTAATGTGGGAGAAAGATTGCTCGATAGAAAAGTATACCAGAAGAAGTCGAAATCCGCAGACTGCTTTTTGATGCAGGTTCCCAGCAGGAAGTTTTTGTAGTTTTTCAGCTATTTTTTGGGCTTTAACGCTTCAATGTACGGTTTCGTTTTGCTAATTTGTTTTTTTAAATAAGAACACCGAGGGAAGACACTTTGCTGTTCACTTCATTCGGAAAATTTTCAAGCTTGCATGTGTATACACACGCACATAATAAACACACGCACGAATATGCATAATGGGTAAGTGGACACCACCCCTCCCCTTTCCCCCCTAAGAAAAGGTAAATAAGGTTCTAGTGGGACAATGTTACCCGGCCCTACACACTTAACTAATCGGTTCAATAGCAGTCTCTTCCCTCTCTCTGTCACTTTCTCTCTCTATGCCTAACCCTAAAACCATGGTCAGCCGAGACACTCAACTGTTTTCCTCGTGTGCGCTGATGATGCGGACAATCCAGTGCAAGGCCATGTTGGGAAATATGGATGTGGCAATTTTCTGACCGAGCGAGAGGTCGGCGTACTCGACGGAGCCGGGAAAGTCCATGAAGAAGACGGGCACCTCGTAAGTCAGCATCCAGAGGCACACGGTGGCGAACACAGCGTACACCGCTGCGTAAAGAGAAGACTTAGTGACATGTTGTGGGAGCTACAAGGATTTAAGATTTTTTCGCCAATATTAATGTCACTGTCCAATTTACATGGTGGTGGGACCAGATATTGCATGCGAGGTTACCGTCACATGGCGATGAGTCAAGATTTACCGAGATAGATCAAGACAACGAAAAAAAAAGCCTTCGATTTCCTCGCTTCTTTAACAGCGCATGAATTAATGAATGAGGCATGCAGCTCACGAGTCTTGACGACGCAGCTTATGAGCAGGCAGAACAGGTCGCAGTAGACAGCGTACAACGTGAGCATGAACAGAACGAGGCTGATGTCGCTCTGAGGCAGTATTGCCGACTCGCAGAATATGGGAAACGTCAGAAACGTAGTGATGAGGACCGTCTCCAGTGACATCACCATCAGGCTGCTCAAGAAGGCGGAAAACCAGTAAACGGCGTCGGAGATGCCAGCGATGCGCAGGAGCTCCTGCGAACATGCGTGAATGACACACTTGTACGTTATCGAATAGTACATGTAATTGATTGATTTTAATCAATATCATTTGTATTTCCTTTCTCTCTTTAGGGGCGAAGCTCCTTAAGACGTTGGTCTGTACATCCTCCGATGTATGTAGTAGTAGTAGTAGTAGTAGTAGGTAGCCACTGGTCGCACATACCGCTCTAGAGCGGGTATGTGCAACAGGGGATGCGAGATGGGAGATGGCGGTACTTGGAGTGTTCACTAGATGGAGGCACAGACGGACGCACGGACGGACACATGGACAGACTAGCAGATGGACGGATGCGCGGACGGATGGACGGGCTCATGGACGTACGCACGGACAGACGGATGGATGGACGCAGGGATGGTCGCGCGGACTGGAGGAAGCACGGACAGGCTGACGGACGCTTCGCCCCACTCATCATCATTCACTCAGTGGATATGCAGTATTTTTTTTTTGTATTTCATAGTGGTCACTGTTCTCTGATTACTTTTTAGGGACGAAGCTCCTTGGGCCGTGGGTCGTTCCCTCCTTCGAATGTGGTATGTAGCCACCTCTATATTACTACTTGCTCAATAGGTGCCGTTGTGTGTATATGTCCTTGGAAATAATATAACAAGACGACGTTAGTGGTTTTCACAGCCTATCCACGGAGTGAGTGATGACGAGTGAGGCGAAGGGTCCACCCGTCCATTCGCCCACTATCCATTCATGCTTCCGTCTGTCTGTACATGCTTCCGTCCATCCGTCCGTCTCTCCGTCCATGCTTCTGCATGTTCGTTCGTCCACACTTTCATGCGTGCTTCTGTCCATGCGTCCATCAGTCCGTCCGTGCTTCCATCAGTCCGTCCGGACGCATGGACGGATGCACACACAGACGCACGGACGGTCGCTTCGCCCCACTCATCATCATTCACTTTGTGCATATGCTGTGATTTTTTTATATAATCAATTAGATATAAACTGATACCTTATTGGCAAGACAGAATGTGACGTAAAAAAGACCTTGATTATCTGTATTTGGTGCAACTACAGTTGCACGCCTTCTTTCGTGGAATGCGGCGGTCACATGGACACGCTTTTTTTTCGATAGACGAACCTGAGCGCTACGTACTCAGCCCGCGGGATCATGACCCGAGCCCAAAACGTCACGTGTAACGTGGCTGGTAAAACAGTACGTCGCTGATGACACTCGCTCTGGCAGTACTGACGCAGGCAAACGTAACAAGCCCTGAGCAGCATGGCATGTGTTGAATAGCCTGCCTTAGCACGACGAGAGGGGACACGCTCGTCACCACCCTCCCCTGTCACCTTTTCCTTATGTCCAGCTATAGTTTTGTTTTATTACATTGTCATTCATTGATTCTCGGACAGTGTTTCATAAACTAGCCATCGACTAAAGTGACTATAAAATAAAGCGCCACGGCAAGCCAACCGGTCACTGTTCTTGTTTGTGCAATCATAGAATAAACAATTCAATTTCTGCCAACCGTGGTTTTCTTACCGTGAATCGACGAATAACCTTAATTTTGTTACAATAGGTCTTTCTTTGAAAATTTGACGGATTTTGCGGTTCGAAAGCGAGCGAATATTGCATATTCCCCTCCCCTCCACATACGATACAGGCCGTGGCAAAAGAGCAATACGTATGCAACACCAGGGAGAACCTTCGCTTTCTTTCGAATTGTACGCCGTGGTGGCGTGATGTCATACATGACGCATTTGAAACTTCAAGCAATTAAGGTACAAGTGGGCTCTCCGGGAGGCCTACAGCCATTCATTGATTCTGGACTTTTGTTTCATTAAATATAGCCATTCGTACCGTGATGTTTGTGATCACTGCGTCATAAAGTGCATGCCCCAGATACTATGTATACATGGTGGTATAAAGTTCCTAAGCTGCACAGCCTTAGAATCACATAAGATGGTGGCCGGCGAACTTTTGATCAGTCACTGCTCCCCAACCCTCTTTTCCAACATACGACCATGGCCTCCACAGAAGCTCTACATGAACAGCACCTTCATTCCGACTGATTTCTCATCCGCGATGCGCTTGACGGCGACGGGTGCCAGGACGATGAAGCCGTAGATGACGCTCACGTCTGTAATCTTGCGCGCGCTCCTGGAGGTGTCGAAGCCCTTGGGCGAGGGAAACCGACGCGTCTGGAAGTATACCGGCGGTGGCCGCTCGCCATCGGCCGTGCTGGATGCGATCTGCGCCACGGCCATGTTGAGCCTCGACATCATCGGTAGCAGGATACCTAAAGCACAGGGAAGAACAAGACGTGAGGTCTGGAAGCTTCCACTATGCTTGCAGTGAAGTATAGAGTGCTCGAGCGCCTTACTATCTCAAAATATACCGATAAATCGAGGGGTGTGTTTTAATACTTCATAAGATTTAAAGACGAAGGCCATACACGGCTAATCAAACGGGAAAAGCGGCCGTCAACGTAGTCTTCATCAACACGAATGGTGCAAAAACAATCGTAATCAAAAAGTTAATGATAATATTATTTACGGTGATGATGATTATTATTATAAATTAATAAGAATACGATGAATGATGATTTAACACTGATGCTGGTGATGACAACATAGCCACCCCAGATGGCTTTCGCTTTCTAGTCTTTGGACGAATGCATGAGAAACTCTTTCAGTTATTGAGTCCTGCCTTCAGTCTACGGGACTAACGTGTTCGAAATCATTCCGAGTATTGATTGATTTGTGGGGTTTAACGTCCCAAAACCACCATTTGATTATGAGAGACGCCGTAGTGGAGGGCTCCGGAAATTTTGACCACCTGGGGTTCTTTAACGTGCACCCAAATCTGAGTACACGGGCCTACAACATTTCCGCCTCCATCGGAAATGCAGCCGCCGCAGCCGGGAATCGAACCCGCGACCTGCGGGTCAGCAGCCGAGTACCTTAGCCACTAGACCACCGCGGCGGGGCAATCATTCCGAGTAGGCATCGCTATTCTGTTTATCCAGCGTTTCCGTCTATCCTTGTTTTGTTTATTCGGAGAACACCGCAATGTGCTATTAGAAAGAATTATCAGTTTAATGAATGAATGAATGAACGAACACAGGGTAAACTTCACCTGAAAGCCAAAATGGCGGCCGTATGGTGGCGCCCCCTGGCCGCATTGTCTGCCTGGTGTAGAATTCCTGCCAGGAGGGAAAGCGCAGAGTGTAGCTGAGCGCGCCTTGCTCAGCCTGCTTGAACACCACGCCGTAGTTATTGGCCAGCCCGAGGGAATTGAAGCGCGCACTTAGGTTGGCCACCATCACAGATTCGTCGGCGAACTCTTCGAGCTTCGCAAGGGGGAACGCGAGGCGCAGAACTTCTTCGCCGGAGATGTTCCCAGCTGCACGCAGATGCAACGCCGAACATATCATCAGCTTCAATGTGCCATAGATAGAATCGATGATTGCGCATACGTCTGAACAATCTTTTGTGAAATATAAATATTTTAGTAATTGCGAAATCAATGAGCGTAGCGAACGAGACTCGTTAAGAGCAAGGCAGGCGTACACTAAGTGCTCATATATAACGTAAGTTTCACCTCCTATGATGCACCGTAGGCGTGCAGAGGGGTCAAGTGTCACCGTAGCGAGTACCCACACAGTAAATCAGTTTACACCGTGCACAAGGGACTTTTACTTGGTCTATACCTAACACCATTACACCCTAGAAAAAAGGCGTTTTTACGAATCAAAACACCCATACCATGGGGTGTTTCAATGACCTAACATCACTATTATTGACAAAAATAAAATCTTCCAGTGAGGAAACATACAATTACAGAATACACCACCATACAGGGCACGTACGCGCCAAACCGTACACACAGGATAGCATAATGTAAAATACTCCATGAGCGGAAAGCTCACGCTAAACAGCGCGAGCTGTTGAATGAATAACATGAACATGAATGACATGAACGAATAACATGAACATGAATAAGATTAGAAGGATAGATGTTAAAACATGAGGTGCTTGTTGATATACCTGAAGCGAACAGACCTTTTAATCTAAACTCGCCCAATACCCACCCAACAATTTGTTATTAATCGTCAACTCCCTGCTGTAATCTGGCATGCTCTCGCGTAGGACATCTGTGTTTCGATAATACATAACACCCTTAGCTCCTAAAGGGTGCTTTAGGTTAGACATTATCTCTCGAAGACGCTTTGGGAAAGGAAAACACCCTCACCTTTGCAAATTCTAGTTAGGCAAAAGGCTGTTTTGCTTGCTTGAAGCCACCTTAAGGGTGCCAAGTAGTTTACAGTGCATATGTTCGTTATCGCAATAATACAAATAAACAAATTGTGCTTGCTTGGCGCCGGCACGAAGGCGATGATGGTGGGGAAGTAGAAGGACGGCTTGACCACTTGCTCGGCCTCCATGTCGCTGACGTTTAGACTAGCGAGAATTGCCGGAGTGGACGTTCCCTCCGGCGATGACTCCTCGCGGCTGCAGTGCAAGTACGTTTGCACCAAAGTCAGCAGCAGCGGCGTCAACACCTCCAGCGCCGTGATCGTCCAGTTTCGGCGCAGCTTGTACAAGTAGACGCTCTTCCAGAGCAACAGGCGCAGCTGTCGCCATCGAACGGATCGAGCGTGCATGTGGACGGCCTAAGCAGTATGGTGGACGACGTGTCTTCCGTCTTCGATATCCTGTGCACGTGCGCAGATACAATCAAGGACGAAGCAAGAACGCACGCAAACGAAACACATGTACATGAAGATTTATCGGATAAAACGTTGCAAACGTCGTCGTGGATGCCACTTCTAACCGTACTAGTGCTTCAAGATGGCTACTTTGGTTACGAAACCTGACTCCATGCAATAACGACGTCCCCAGAACGTCTGAAATCGCAAGCGCCGCGTCTTCAGAAGCTGGTGTTCCAAAACCACGGTTTCAGCATCGTCACCTTATATATAACATCAAAACGGTATCAACCAATCGCTATGATACAATGATGCTATAGTTGGTTCATACCACTGCTTCGAATACGGGAACAAAAAATACGGTTCGGACAAGAAAACATTCTGACTCACTATATATGACAACCACACCTTGTGGACACCCCTCATCTCATCGCAGAGACTGCTAATTCAAGGCGCACCTTGAGCATAAAGATCATATACATATATACATGAAGCCATCGATATTGAGATGGAAAGAAGCGTGTGCACGCATAAGCGTGTGACGGGGTGCATCCACGCGTCTGTTTGAAGACCCATATATGTGCGGGACTTAAAACGACCAACGCATTGTGAAACACCCATCATGGTGAAATTATATACTTTTTTGCCACGACAAGGAGACTGTAGTACTTCATTTCCTAATGTATGTATTAACATCTAAGGGCCTGCGTGTAGAGTTCTTTGGTTTAACTTGCACTACCTCAGAAAATTCATCACCCACCACAGTGGTCTATCGGTTATGACGCTTGACTGCGCACTTGAAGGTCGTGGGTAGGAGTCCCGACTGTGGTGCCCTCATATCGATGGAGGCGAAATATGCTAGAGGTCCGCGCACTAACGTTTAGGTACATGTTATAACAGCAGGCAGTCAAAATTTCCGGAGCCCTTCACTACGTACGTTCATATCATGCGAGGTTTTCGGACGTAAAACAATGATAGCTATATTAAAAATAAAGCTAAGCTATTACTACAGCGACGTCCTTGTTAGCTTTCCCTGTCTCCATCATTTTCAGTGCCGCTGTTCGAAGCAGTGTAAGTTGCATATGGACGCGGCACACTCAGGAGCAGCACTGAATAAACGTAACACTACACAGCTGTACACAAACAGCGCGTTTACTTTCTTACTACAAACAAGGCAGAGCATCGATACGTCAAAATCAGCACTGGGCAAAGTGTCACCGTTTTCCGTTAACATTCACGTAACCACTCAAAGGCAAGTCTTACCTGCCAGCTGCCTCGCAATAATGTGTTGTATTCAATTCACCAAGAGCTAGCTAGCTCTTTCAACCCGACTTGTGGGGCCCGTGAGCGTGAGGTAATCAGAGCTTGGCGCGACAACCGAGCGAAAGCTTCTTCGTCTTGTTATGTGGAAGCTGATGACCTCTGATGAATGGCGCTTACCCACAAAGGGGGATGGGCCAAGAACCGGGCGGCAGAATACTTAAATGAAACTAAAATGAAAATGAAGCCAATCTGAAAAAGTAGCTTAAAATAATACTACCAAAAAACAAAAATGTTTGCTGAGCAAGCGGTCAAACCATCTTTTGTTTTTGAAAGACATAACTACGAATTATAAACCTAAGATCTGAAAAGGTGGGGGTTCACTAGCATGGTGATCTTTTAGTTGCGTTGATGTAATCAAACACAGCGGAGCATACATCCCTGTGGCAGTAACTAAATGAAGTTCCGCCAAGTGATAAAATTACTGGTAGATTTACTTGTATTCCTAGCTTTTGTAATGGGGCTACTAAAAATCTTTTTCTCTGATAAGAATAACGATGACAGAATAAAAAGAAATGCTCAATTGTTTCAATTTCATTGCACCAAATGCATAGCGGTGACGCCTTGAGCCGAGCTTTGTTAAGGTAATAATTTAGTTGTGGAACTGCACAGCGCAATCTGGTATAAGTGACCTCTAACTGGCGAGATACACACCACTGTTTATTCCAGCAATAGCTCAAATGCTCGAAATCTTTGAATTTATCCAAATTACCTTTTCCCCATTGCAGGCAAGCATTTCGGAACCTTAGCGCGGTTACGTAAGCCGTATCTGGCAAAACTGGGATGGTGGGCCCACCCAGGGATACTGCTGCTAAAGAGTCCGCCATTTCGTTCAAATATAATCCGCGGTGGCCTGGTACCCATAGCAAATGCAGTTTTTTTACGTTTTTCTGTACTAAATGCCGAAACGTATTCATCAGCTCTGAATTTACTGCCGCAGAAAGTGCATTACAAACTGATAACGAATCTGTAATATCTGCTAATGATTCGCTTGAGGGTAATTTGCGTAGGGCAAGAACAATGGCCAATAAATCTGCAATGAATACCGGGGTATAATCTGGGAGTCGAATCGAAAAGGACCAGTCCAAAGAAGGAGAGAAGATGCCAACTTCAGCCTTTTCTTTTGACACAGATGCATCAGTCGCTATGATATTGCTTATCTCTAGGTGAGCTAGATAATCTGCTAACTGGTAATTTAAATACCTATATACCAATTGTTTCGCGTTATGAGGACATATATCATCGAATTGTATGCTAAGCATTTACTTTAGGTTGTGTATTGGACCAATATGTCTAATTTTTACATTCAGTTGCTTTAGTAGCGCTTGTGCAAATACTACTTGCGGGGTGTGTAGTCGCGACCAATGGGTTTCGAAAAATAAAGTCGGTTCTTGAATGAAAGCGTAAAATGAGAGTCTTTGTTGTGAACTGTATATCTTTAAGAATGCTTGCACAGTAAAAATTTTAAACCTATTTAGCAGAGATGGTAGGCGAGCTTCCATATACAACACGTTATTTGCAACAAACTTTGGTAGACCCAGACACAAACGCAACGCTTCTCTTTCCAGAAGTATTATGGGTCTCATTTTATAAGCTGCGCTGCCAGAAAATAATACACATCCGAATTCCATGATGGGCCGCACATAAAGCTTATATATCACTATCAGCACATCTCTTCTTAAACCCGCTTTACGGTTTGCAAGCTTCCGTAGCCACCCATGGCCCGTGTTGCCTTGGAGTACACATCATCAATGTGACTTCTCCAATTTAATGTGTCATTATATATGATGCCCAAATATTTAAGGGAATTCACCTGCGGAATGAGCTCATTACTGTACATTAACAAGATGTTGATAGGCTGCAGAAAAGAGAATGCAAGAAGCACACTTTTCTTTACGTTCAGGGTCATATGAATATTTTTAAGCCATCTTTGTATCATATTGAGATAATTTTGTAGACTCTGGTATAATGATTGAAGGTCGGTATTACTTGCAAAAAAAGCAATATCGTCCGCGTACACATATAACTGAATATCCTTAGTTGATGGAATGGAGCTTAAGAAAATGTTAAATAAAACTGGCGACAGGACAGCCCCCTGTGGTACGCCACGTGTCTGCTTATATCTATTCGATGAGTACCCATCTTTAAAGCAGTAATATTCTCTCCCTCTTAAAAACTCCGACACACACGCAGTGATGTAGTTGGGAAAGTGGTGATATTCCATCTGTTTTAATAAAATTGAATGCTCAACCCTATCGTACGCTTTAGCCAAATCTAGAGTAACTAAAGCACAGTATTGGCGCCGACGCCGAGCCAGTTGTATTCGGCTCTCTAAATCAACATGCGCACACCATATTGAGCAACCAGATCTAAAACCAATTTGACTGGGGTTTAATATTGCGTTATTATTAATATATTTCATTACCCGGGCATTCAAAACTCTTTCAATTAGCTTAACCAGATTTGACGTGAGTGATATCGGCCTTACATTGTCCAAGGCGAATCCTTTTTCCTGCTTTTTAAGAAGTGGGATCACTTTAGACAGCTTCCATTCCGCAGGTATCCAAGCTTTTGTCAAAGAAAAATTCACCAGATTAAGTACTTCAGTTGGACAAATCTCGAATATTACTTTTATCATTGCATTTGTTACCCCGTCTGGTCAAGGTGCCGAAGGAGATAAGTGCCTTATTATCTCTGCCAGCTCATCTAAAGTAACCTCCTCGAAATCCTCGCCTGCCATTGGGTTCACAATGTGCAGTGGTATAGTTGACATAAATCTATCTTGGAGCCCTTTCGCAATATTTTCTACTAAATCAGAGAGCTCACGGGGGGAAAGAACAGAAGAGTCAATGTTTTCAGCGGGTGGTAACATCTTTTGAGATCTTAAAAATCTGAAGAGCGCTTTTTTGTTTTTAGCCCTAGAAAGATACTCATGTCGTTTCATATTATAACCGTCTTTTGCTGTACTTACTGTGCGTTTGAAGTCTGCTGCTGCGAATTTATAATCACACCGATTTTTTGGACATTGGTTGACCAGCAGTTGTTTCCATGCAGCTTTCCGTTTTCTATAGCTCCTCATGCACTCTTCAGTCCACCATGGACTAAAAGAACCTCTTGTGGCCGACTCTTGTTATGTGGATGAAGACGAAAGTACAGACTGATCCCGACTTCTTCCATTTGTGCCTCCAGTAAACAACCACAAACAACAGTTTAAATAATTTTAGGTACACCCAGCAGTGCCGGCCCTAGACAGTCACCCTGAATACGTTACCAAGGATGTTATTTTTTGGGTGCGTGAGATATCTGAAGAATAGTCTCAGTAAACATCCACGCATATTCAACTAAAAACAAAATAAGCAGTTCTTATGATTTTTCTAGTTTTCTTTCCCAGTTATAAACAATACCCAAAATGATGCTTCGTGCTCCATTGCCATTTGTTTTTTTTTATTTGCAAAATAGTTCTTAACAGAGAAAGCACGTGCCGAAATCGCTGCGCTGTTTGGTGGCAAGCCGTCCTCTGTAGAAAGCGTTGCCCTGGTCATGGCCACCGAGCAATCTCGGAGGCCGTTAACTTGCTCACTACAGTAGGCGTATGATCCCTAGAATCTAGGGACCATAGTAGGCGGCTCGCCACT